CAAACTCCAGAACAACAGTCGTATGTGCGCAAACTCTTGGGGTTCCAATTTCGCATCGAATACAAACCTGGGGCTTCCAATAAAGTGGCCGACGCACTTTCACGTGTGCCTGCTGACCGGCGCACAGATGACCACACACTCGCACTCGAGCATTAGTGTCATCACCTACATATGGTATTATTACTCAGCTTCAAAAAAGATAATGCTTCGATTTTTTCTATCGGACTTTTCGGGAACAACACATGCAGGGATTGCTCCGGCACTCTTATACTATCGTGAATGGGGTCCTCTTCCATACCGGTCGTTATGTGATCAATCCAACATCTCCTCTATGTCATACAATCATTAGCGAATTTCACGATACACCAAGTGGTGGTCATGCTGGTGTGAAACGTACCCTAGTTCGTGTTGCTGCCAATTTTTATTGGTCCGGTATGCGTAAAGCAGTGGAAGAGTATGTCGGCTCATGTCTTACTTGCCAACAAATTAAATACTCAACGCAGGTTCCAGCGGGACTCCTTCAACCTCTCCCGATTCCAGAGACGGTTTGGGAAGATGTGACAATGGATTTTATTACGGGTCTCCCTCCCTCTCAAGGATCCACGGTTATCCTTGTTGTTGTGGATCGATTATCAAAAACAACTCACTTTGGTGCTCTTCCCACGTCATTTACCGCTTCCAAAGTAGCAGAGTTGTTTGTGTCTTTGGTTGTGCGTCACCATGGGTACCCTCGTTCCATTGTGTCTGATCGTGATCCGGTCTTCATTAGCGCTTTTTGGCGCAAGCTGTTTGAACGTAGTGGCACCAAGCTTGCTATGAGCAGTGCCTATCACCCTTAAACTGACAGTCAAACCGAGGTAGTTAACCGTGGGTTGGAACAATATCTTCGTGCCTTCACTCAACATAAACCGTCTTCATGGGTTGCATTCCTCCCGTGGGCCGAATTTCATTATAACACCAGCTACCATAGTGCCTTGCAAATGTCCCCTTTCGAGGCTCTTTATGGTCGAAGACCACCCACCATTCTGGCATATACTAGGGGATTCACTTCTATACAAGTATTGGATGAGGTCCTAACTTCTCGTGACGAATTACTCCGCACTTTGAAGACAAATTTAACTACTGCTCAACATAGAATGCATCAGAAGGCCAATGCACATCGTCGAGACATTACTCTCGCTGTTGGTGATTTGGTTCTCGTACACCTTAGACCGTATCGCCAAACATCAGTCCATCAATTGAAACACCACAAGCTCTCGAAGAGGTTCTATGGTCCTTATAGCATCATCGAGCGCATTGGGACAGTGACATACAAACTCCAACTTCCTCCTGGTAGTCGCATTCACCCGGTTTTTCATGTGTCGGCTCTTAAACCTTTTCGTGGTACTGATAAGATGTCTGCATGTGACTTACCCTTGGAAAGCTTTGATAACCAACCTATTGATCAACCAAGGGCAATTTTAGATTGACGAACTCAGTTAGTTCACGGGCAACCACAGGAACAATTCTTGGTGCATCGGGAAGGTCGTCCAGCTAAATGAAGCTTCCGGGAAGACTTGGAAAATTTCCGCACTTGTTATCTCGATTTTCACCTCGAGGACAAGGTGAGTTCTCGCGAAGGGGAAAATGATACAAACCAACCAGATGGACCCAAACCCAATAAGGAAGGATGACCCAATAGTAAGGAAACGAGCAAGAAAGAAACCAGACGTGGATGACTCGATTATGTCTCATGGACAAAATTAGAAGATCCCGATATGCTCAAATTAATTCCTGAAATTTCTCACGCAAATTATTAGTTTAATTTCTGTTTTATTTCCCTAATTTTTGCTTGATTGTTAGCACTCAATTCCTTTTAATAGCTATGATGTAATCAAAACAGAAGAGAATAAAAGTTTTCAAGATCCTTTTTCCCCCAAATTCTATTATTCTCTTTTCCTTAATTTTTTGAGGAATGAACACTCACTCGAAGAGTCTTAAAACCTTTGAGCATTCTGCAGCAGAGTGTATCACCCTACCTTTAGTACTCAAAACCCTATATTTAGTAATATATTTGTCTAATTTATTCTTTTGCTCTATTTAAAAGATATTTTATTTTAAATAATATAATTTTTTTAATTGTTAAAATTGGTGGTTAGGTTTAATCTAATTTACCGGCACGTAAACAAAATAAAAAAAGTATGATTCCACCTGATATATTTTTTAAATAGATAATATTTTTTAGTATAGGATGAACTTATGTTAGATCAATTTTGGTTGATTAAAACTTTTAAAAATTATTAATATGTTTGTATTAAAATAAATAATTAAACAATATTTAAATAAAAAAATAAAAAAATAATTTTTATTTAAAATATAATTATTTAATATATAAATAATAAGATAATGAATTTATTCCTTAAAAATTTATTATTTGTTATTATTATTTTTATTTTAGTAATTTATTGATGTAAATTAATAATTATTTTTAATCATTTAATCTTAAAATATATAATTGTTAAAAATTTATTATTGTATTTATTTTTAAAATAATTGAATTATTTATCAAATTAATTTATAATATATTTTTTTAATAAAATATTATTATTTTTCATATAAAAAAATAAATATTATTTTAAGTTAATCATTAACTTGAACTAACTTAAACTTATACAGGTCATATCTAAATAGATAATAACAAATAGATTTGATTTAATTTAGATACTAAATTTGTTTTATTTAATATATTTTTTAACCTTTTCATCAGATTTAACTTACTTTAACTCTCTAATTTTTTTATTAAACTTAAATTTTATTTATTATAATACTTAAAAAATTACTATTAATTAATTTTTTATTTTTATATTATTTAGAAGTTTATTTTAAAAAGACAAAATTTCAAACAAAATATTGATGAATAATAATTATACTTTAAAATGTGATCAAATCTTTCTAACCATGTATGAAAATATGATGTATTGAAGTTATATTTATAACAATTATGTCTATTAAAATGATTATAGTTAAAGCTTACCTATAATATAATTTTTATGCAATCATATATATATATATAATAATTATTATTATTAGTTTGTTAACTTTTATTTTAAAAAGTATAATATAATTATTTATATTAATAATTCAATAAAAAACAATTTGCTATTTTTTAAAAACTAAAGATAAGATATAAGATTTAAGGTAATAAAATAGACAACATTATGTGGTGATAGTTTCATAGCATTTCTGCAAGTTGTTACATATGTGGTTGGGACCCATTTCATTCCCCTTCCAACAATTCTATAAAAAAACAATTATTAGGATTATTGCTATTTATTTAGTGAGAAAATTTCAAGAAGAAAAAAAGGATTATTGTTATTATTTGCATAAAAAATTAACCATTAATTTTACATTAAAAAAATATAGTTAGAGATGCAAAATTGAGTGAAGAAACACAGAATCACCCTTGAGTAGTGTGGATAAAGGATAAGTAATGGAGGGTAAAATCGTCATTTGGTATATGCTTATAAAATTTATAGGGTTATTATTATTTTTCTTCTTCACCATTGAATTCATTCATTCATTCGCAACCTATTATATAATAACAGTGCCATTATTATTCTCTTTAAAAGCTTCTTCCTTGCTGTCATTTCATTTGCATGATGAGAAGAAGATGATATTCCATGTTCTTTGGTAAAATTAACCCTCGCATTTATAATATCATCATATATTATTACTATTTTTATTTGGTCTTAGCCTTTTTTATATAAACAAAACCTGTTGATTTACATTTCTTTTCTGCTTCTGGATTTGCATCTTGTCATATTCTTTTTAATGTAAGCTACCTTTATATATTCTCTTTATTTTTTTTATTTCTTTTCAATTTCTTTAATGAAATATATCGCCAAGCAAGTTGCACACACAAAAGGGGCACACTTTATTGAGATGGATAATGGATAAAGATAATCTTTGCTTTAGGAATTTATATTTTCTTTATTGACCTCCATTAGTGGGTGGTGCAATGGATCAAGGACAAGAATTCCGATTTGAATTTTCTTTGAAAATTGAAAAAAAAAGGTGAAGTTTGTGATATTTTTTGGAACTGGATAGATGGATCTGCTGGCATCATGACATCAACCCAAGAAATCCTTCTTACCCTGAAACAGTGTCAGATTATAGAGAAAGATCAATTAAAGTAATGACTTGCTTTATGCATTGCGGATTTATGTATGCAAAATATGGTTTGGTAGGGTTATGTTAAGATATATTCTTAATTACAATAGAATAGAATACCATCCTATTCTACGAATGTCAGGGTTCAGTTATAGGCTACATAGGTCTGTGAACAGTGCCTGGGGTTTGGGAGAAACTAGAAAGGGACTCTGTGGAGCGTCTTTATTACCAAAGTCTAAAAAGGTTTCTCTCGGTTAGGCACTGTTGTTTCAAAGGCCAGAACCCTGATATTTGTTTGATGGGTTCATGCTGTTACATCCTCGGTAATCTGAGGGAATTCATGGCTGTGTCACAGCTTTTCTGTACCATAATACCCTTTTCTTGGGCTTTGTATCTTCCTTCTTACTGCAAGATATTTCACCACCACCCCTTCGGCCTGTTGTGCGTCCTCCTATCAGGGTTTGTGGCTTGTTTCAGTCCTGAACCTACTGCTGCACGGTGATTTTATTGGCTTCTCTCTCTTTTTTGTTTCCTTTTTTTTTTTAATTTTTTATTTCATCGGACAATTTCTTTCTGCTTCTTCTTATCCTGTGAACTTGTCTGTTTCTTTTCACTTTTTTGTCTCCATTCTTCTTTATTGTGGTCTGCATGTAAGCCATTTAATTTCTCGTTACTGGTTTTCCTTTTCGTATCTGTAATTACTGCTGGGTGATTTTCAACCCACTAATGCTTTTGTTCTCCCTTTAGTATTTTCTTTTTTCTTATTTCCCCATCCCTTCTGTGCTACCAAATGTTAAACTTGCTGTGTTGTTGATGGTGGGGCAGGAAATCACTGAAGACTGAAGTAGTTAATGGCATCAAGTTCTGGCGTTGGTAACAGCTCAATACTTATCAAAGATGTACCTTCGACCTTTCGTGCTTATCCTCTTCCACTAGCAAAATACGAGGATGTTGTAGACAATTCCCACCTCTTCCTTTTTACCTTGGAGAAGCTTCACGCATCTATGGGTACCAAGTACATGTAAGCTCCCTGGGAATCATTTGATTGTAACCTGTATAACTATTTTCTTTATTTGCTTTATAAGTGTTTGTAGGGGTCAAAACTTAAGGCCTCTGTAAACTGTTAGAGAGGGTAATGGGTTGGCTGGAAAATCTGTAGAGGTTAATTAGTAGAGCTTATTCCTGGTTCTTTCTGAAGAAATGAAATGCAAACATGTCATGCCATATTCCTGGCATCGTGGTCTATAGTTATCTATATTGATTTTAAGATGGATATATCTGATGATATTTTATGGTTCTACCTAATTATCTTAGCGGTATTTTTTGGCCTTATCAATGAGTTTAAAGTAATTCTGATGTTGCAGTGTCTGCAGTGGGGCCTCAGCATATAATGTTTAGTTTTTTGGAAGTATTGTGCCCTGTTAATTAATGTCTTTTAATTGCACAACTTTGTAAATTCAAAAGGACAGGGTCCCTCCCCCAAGTACCATTTTTAGTTACTTTTGTTGAATTTGAATTTGTTGCAGGATTCCCATTGTTGGAGGAAGAGAACTAGATTTGCATCGCCTCTTTGTTGAAGTGACATCCCGAGGAGGGATTGCAAAAGTAAGATCAGATTATAGCTCCCTTTATTCGACTTTGCTTTTTTCCATGTCTTAAAATTGCTATGCGTGTCTAATGCCCGATTTGGTGAATTGAAACACGACAATTTTTCTTGTGATAACCTGTATTTATTTTAGCAAGAGGACAACGACGTGTTGCATAAGGTTTCCGCTAATTTCATTGAGTAGTAAAATTAAACTTGTGTGAGAACTTAATTTGTTGTTCAAGAAGCATTATATCCTTTTTATAGCATACTCCATCCAAATACTATGGCCATTTTCAACCATAAAGTCAGTTGGAGGTTAAGAAACATTAGCTGGGAGATGATTCTATCAGAATGGATCACAAGCAGCTGAATTCATATTAAATCAATTAATTTCCTGGTGTTCATGGTCGTTCTGCTGAATTTTCGGGTTCAAAGAACGGAGGGTGTTTGTAGTACAATTTCATTAGTAGTTATCTAGTATGCAGTAAAGCAGGCGAAATGTTTCTGTTCTCAATATGTCGGTAAATCTTGTCAATTTCCCTTACCTTGATGTTTTTGTCAAGGGAGGCACTACTTTTTTCGGGATCATTGTATTGTATATGTGAATAATGGTTTGTATGGTTTTATAAATTTTGATTATAATCTAGTTCTATTATCTTGCATTTAATATATTTTCTTCCGAGTTCTCAGTTCAAGATTTGATAGAAATGTGTTAGTTGAAGTTTTTGGGTGTCTTTTGTTGTCCATACTTCTCTAACAAATATTATGTCTTGAATGGTATAAACGCTTGCATTTTGTATGATATTCTGGCAAAAAAATGTGAATTATTTTATTTATTCTGGTTTTAGTTCTAAAAGTTATATCTGGTTCATCTGTCTTGCAGATAATTAGAGAGAGGAAATGGAAAGAAGTAACTTCAGTCTTCAATTTTCCATCAACAGCTACAAATGCTTCTTTTGTGTTAAGGAAGTACTATGCTTCATTACTCTACCATTATGAACAAATATACTATTTTAAAACCCGAGAATGGGACCCCACTGCTCCTGGTAAATTCATTTTAACCACATTGTTGGTTTGAACTAATGTTAAAGATGGGTCCGTTCTATATAAGATATCCATTTCTCTTTGCAGATGTTTTGCATAATCAATCGACCTTGGCAGTTCCTCCTCCAAAATTGCAGTTTCCACAGCCTTTGTCAGATATTCAACAAGCTGTCTTTCAACAGTCAAATGTTAATGCTGCTAAATTGCCTGAAGGTCTTTGCTCTTTCTTTTCGTTTACTCAAAACAATATTCATTGCTGATCACAATTTACTAAGCAAAAGAATAAAATGGGTTTATTACGGTCATGGTAATTTTTAGTCCTAGCCTTCGGCAATTTTTAAGACTATTTGGAATGATAGAAAATGGTGGAACGGAATAGAATGAAATGACACTGGTAGCCATTTTTGGATTCCTTATAGTAAAGTAAAATGGAATTTAATTGATGTAATCTATTCTATCCCATATTCCCTCATTTTTGGGGGATATGGGCTATAAGACCAATTCTAATTCTTACCACTTCGTCCAATTTTTAAACAATAGGATTATAGTTTACTTTACTACCTTCCTGTTTCCTCATAAAATATCTAATGAATGGTAAGTAATTCTATTTGCTTGCCATCCCTTTCCACTCAACCTATTACTGGATATCCAAACAGGACCTTTTTTCATGAAATAGTCATGCCGATCTTAGTCATACTTGATAGCAGACTTAGGTTTGATGTAAGCACAATTAAGTTTCTAATGTTTCATGTACATGCCGAGTGCCATTGTGGTTTACCAGAAGCAGGTTTAGTGTTTTATCTTCATTTCAAAACTTATGTTTCATGACTTAATGGAAATGAGCATTGTATCAAATATCGGTGCCCATTTTGTGCAGACTTGAAATTGTTTTCTATCTACTTTGAAATTTTGTGGCATACTTTAATAACGAGCTTGCTTTTATTTGCCTGACTTTTATTGAGTTGGCTATAGTATAATTTGTATGAAAGATCCTTTGCAAAAGTCAGATCTCTTATAAAACCCTTACCAAGTTAACCACTTCTTTTATTACCAATAGTTGGACTTGTTTTTTTGATTTGGCCACGATCTTAATTTGTAATAAAGATCATCTGCACAGTTGCAATCTCTTCTGGATAATGTTTACCAATACTAAAAAACTTGAAATTGAACTTGTCTTTTTGTATGGTTTTTTGATGGCCATCAGCCATTCAAGTCTCAAACTCATGCCTGTTTGATTATTTGATAAAGTTGCTTATTATCTTGTGGTCCTCAGCAATGACAACATCTTCGGCTGGGTCTCAAGTCATTGGGGTCATTGATGGGAAATTTGAGAGTGGGTATCTAGTCACTGTCACGATCGGGTCAGAGACACTAAAAGGAGTACTTTATCAAGCTCCACAGAATCCTGTATTGCCGGCATCCCATCATAGTGCACCAGCTAATGATAACAATGCTTCTGCTTCAGTGGGTGTACATCGACGGCGACGCAGGAAGAAATCAGAAATAAAAAGAAGGGATCCTGCTCATCCAAAACCTAACAGAAGTGGGTACAATTTCTTCTTTGCTGAACAGCATGCAAGACTAAAGGCACTTCACCATGGAAAGGACAGAGAGATTAGTAGGATGATTGGTGAACTTTGGAACAAGTTAAAAGAATCAGAAAAGAAGGTAAAGAATTTGGTTAATGTGATCTTTTATATAGGTTATAAGCTCGTGCATGCATCTTCTTTTTGTTTTTTTCTTGTATCTTGTGTAATGTTATATTAATGCATTCAGTTTAACCGTCCTAAAGGTTTATCAAGAGAAGGCCGTGAAAGATAAAGAGAGGTACAGAGCAGAAATGGAGGATTATCGAGAGAAACTGAAGATGGGTCAAGTTATCAGTGATGCTGTGCCCCTTCAACAACGACTTCCTGGACAAGATGCAGACATGTTGGATGTTGACTTAAAAATGGATGAAGCTGAGGCAGATTCCCTTCAAACTCCAGAGGAGAGTAGTTCTGGTGGAAGTGACTATGAAGATTATAATAAAACTGCTGAGAGAGGTTTTGATATGGATGCATTACCTGTAATAGGAATGGGTGCAGAAACAAGCTATTTGGGTTCGGAAGACAAGTCATCCAAAGGGGGTTCATGAGCCTTTTTTATGGCAGGGAGAGATGCAGTTTTAGCAGAAAGATTTTCTTATGATGAATTAGAAGGTGAGATGAGATGCAGTTGTGATTTGAGTTAGGATTAAGTTGCAGTGCTTAAATGCTTGCTCACAGTGCTCCACTGTGAATTTTGTCATTCCAATCAATGTTTTATTTCAAGTGGTTCATGTTGGCATCATGCTATATTGCTACTGTACATTTGGCCTGTTTACATGGATCATGGTAACTGATGATGTACATTTCCCCTGTCATTAAGTTGATAGAATAAAATATTGTCTACTTGTTTTTATCTTATTCTTTTTGGTCACTGGTTCTCTGGATGGAAAACTATTCAGAAAAGAGACTAATTGTAGGGTGGGAAAACTATTAGTCGTCAGATCTATCAAAATTTAATTACTGGTTAAGATTTCTATAAGCATGCCAGCAAAATTATGTAATATGTCACAAACTATTCATCAAAAGATGTTAAAAGAATGTTGCCCTCTTTTTGTCTTTTTCCCAATTTTAGAAATAATTAGATATTAAACAATCATCACTTGCTTTGACAATGTTATGATTGTTATTGCGTTACTATTAAATTAGTGGTATTAATACTACTCAATGTCCTGATTTTCACATTGTTGCATGATAATGTATATAACAAATATATAATTAGAATGATTACCCGTCAATTGGTCAATTTTAAGGGTAACAACTTAACTTAATCTATTATGCTTTTAATCTACTTTGTTTATGTGCATAATTAACTAATATGCTTGACATTTAGTTAGAGATATAAAATCCATTTTTGATTTATTTCAATGAAACATTTTCTAACTATATAGCATATACAAAAACTTCTCTTATAATTTACAATAGATAATTTTACTTTGGAAAGAAATTACATTTTTATTTCTATTTAATTTTAGATTTTGGTGAAAGAGCATTTTTTATAGGTGAAAAGTATTTCTGAAGTTTTCTTTGGGGAGAGATCGTGTATATATATATATTAAAATCAATAGACCTGTAAATCTCTAATTGAATAATAATGAGGTATAAAATTAATTTTTATACTTTAGGTTCATTTTATTCAACTTGTTATATTATACTAGAAAATAATGATTTCGTTATTTAATTATAAGAAAAAAAGTCAATTGATTATTTAAAATGTGTTTCACGAAGTAAATAATAATTTTTATTTCACATTCAGCACTTACCCCAAACGCATTCATATCAAATTTCATAGTAATTAATTTTAAAATGTGTTTCATATAGTATTTATTTTAATAACCCATAAGCAACAACTTTTACCCATTATGCACATAGAGATTAAATTATTAAAAACTATATGAATCTTCATGTATTTCTAATATAAATTTATATTTTTGGTTATTGTGTTTTAGTAAAAAATGGTTTTGGTCATTATATTTTAAAAGTTAATAAATTAATTTGTAAATTAAAAAATATGGAACATTAAAAAATGTTATTTAATATCAACTTAAGTAGAACAAAATATTAAAATCACATCTAATCCTTCAATAAATTCTTGAGGTGAAAAATAATAATTAAGTGTTAAATTTAGATATAAAAATATTAATATTACATAGTTTTTAATCAAAGACAAATTTTTTAAAATTATTCAGACACAAAATAATTTTTTCCTAATTTTAATATATATATATATATATAAAGTCAAGATAATTATGAAAGTTTGATGTAAAAAATTTGTTTTGGTTTGTATTTTAAGTTCATTAGGTTTAACTTGTTATATTATTGTAGAAAAAAATATTGAAATATAAAAAAATCAATTAGAAGACATACATAGTATAAATGCTGTCATCTAATAATATTTTAAAATTAATTAAAATATATACATAATATATATGTTTTATAAGTTGTCTTTTTGTTTTCGTTTTTTTCTTCTTTAAATATATGTTCATTATATGATAAAATGTTAATTGTAAATTCCTTTAATCGTATGAATCGTATGAGATATTTAAATTAAATATTATGTGTTCTAAGTGTGTGATGATGATTAAATATGTACTAATATTAAAATTAAAAAAAATATTGTTTCCTAATTTCAAGTTGCTATTTAATTTTCTTAATTGTGTACCTGTTTTATTATATTATATTTTATTTTTATTCCTGAAAATATATTTTATTCGTTAATACTTAATTTTTATAATATATTTAACAAGTAAATATATACTTAAATTAAATCATTTACAGAAGTAACAATTTAAATTTGGGTTTTAAAATATATTAGCTAAATTAAAATAATTAATTGTAAAATTTGAATTGAGAAAAAAGTATTAGCTGCATATATAATGCATATAATTCTCATTCTTTATTAATGTATTTTGTTAGACAAATGAAATTTAGAAGGGGTGAATAGATACACAAATTAAAATAGATGTCAAATTAAAAATTTATTTATTTAAGATATCCAATAATTTATTAATTTAATTGTAATCATCAAATTGAACACAAATATAGACACACAAATATAGGGAAAACAAAAAAGGAGAGTAATGCAATAAAAAAAATAAGTGATTAAGGAAAAAAAAAGAGCACATGTTAATTTATATTGGTTCGGGTATATGGTTTAGGGTTTAGGGTTTAAGGGTTAAGGTTTAAGGAAAAACCCACTAAGTACGAATACCTCCCTATAATCTCACTAGGGATGAATATCTCCCTAGAATCTCACTAGGGATGAATACCTCCCTAGAATCTCACTAGGGATGAATATCTCCTTATAATCACACTAAGGATGGATACCTCCCTAGAATCTCACTAGGGATGGACACCTCCCTATAATCCACTAGGGATGGACACCTCCTTAGAATCCCACTAGGGATGAACACCTCCCTAGAATCACACTAGGGATAAACACTTCCCTATAATCCCACTAGGGATGAACACTTCCCTATAATTCCACTAGGGATGAACACCTCCCTAAAATAAATCAAAGGATGAAAAACACCTCATTTGCCACCAACACACAAAGGATAAACACCTCCCTAAAATCAAAGGGATAAACCAAGACCACACCACTTAGGAACAAAATAAGGGATAAAATAAGATCACAACTCCTAGGAACAAATCAAGGGATGAAACAAGACCATACCTCAAGAACAAAGGATGAAAAGTTCCCACATAGAAAACCCTAAATAACACAATCAATTAAAAAAGAACAATCACACTTGGTAATGGAGACAATAAATTATAGAAGCCTATAAAATGTTAACCTCCAAGAACAAGTGTGATTAACAATGAAAGTGTAGAAGACATTAGACAAAAGGGTTTTCTCAAAAGGTGTAAAATATCTCTGTTGCCTTGCTCAAAAATCTTTTCTCAAAATTGATTGAATGTAAATTGAATGTTCGAATTCTATAATTGTGTATTTTTTATTTTTCATCAAAACTCATTTAAATAGGAAAATAACATCGGAAAATAGTCGTTGATCATTAATAATTTCATAGAGAAAAAATCAGGATGTATCCAAAAATATTTATTATTCAAAAACAAATATATTTTTCAAATTTAAACTGTCATAATCGATTATGTTACCGATTATGATCATTTTTCTATTTATGATGCATCATAATTGATTATGACAATGAAAAATGTCATGTTACGACATTTTATCACACTTGTGATTTGGAAGCTTATACATAATATCACTTCATCAACTTCAACTTGTACCTCCATACCCAAGTATTCTAAGACTCTATTTAGTATCCAAGTAATTATCTTGTGCTTGCTTTTGTCATCATCTTCTTCATAATATATATCTAGTATTCGAGCTTCATCTTAGGCTTGCTTGAGTCTTGAATGTTGTTGACTTAAATCATCATCTCTTAAAAATGTAGGAACATATTTTACATTGTCATTAATCTCCCCTTCATTGCTTTCATATTTCTTTACAACAAATTATAATTTATTATATAATTAAAGACCGATAATTATATTATATATAATATGATTTTTTTATATATATTCTACGCTGATTTTACTTAATCTTTTATATTATTCTATAATATAATTAAACTAAAATGTTAAATTATATATATATATATATATATATATATATATATAAAGTTTTAATATTAATGTATAACATAACCCTAATTTTGATATTATTGTTTTTTTTATTTAACTTATTATATTATTTCTTTGATATATTTGATATGTATAAAACTTATGATTTATAAGTGTGATAAGTATTATTTATATAGAAAAATATTCTATTAATGTAAAAAATATTATGAATATATATATATATATATATATATATATATATATATATATATATATATGCATCAACAAAGGTTAATATAGTGATTTAAAGAGAAAATACTATAATAAGATGTATGTAATGTCTTTTAACTTAACTTGGTAAAAAATAATTGTTATATAAAATGTATTCTAATTATGTAATTAGGTTGAAGGTATCTATTTAAAAAAACATAGTATATTTTTTAGTTTAATTCAACACGTGTGTGAGTCTTGCGAAAAAAAATCAAATACATAATATATGAGTATATACATAATGATACGAGATATAATATTTTTGACATAAAAATAAATATTTATGTAATTTATATGTGTTATGTTTAATTTTTTTATTTATGATATGAATATTGACAATATTTTGCAATTCTTACTAATGTGTTAATTTATATGTGTTTTTAATTTAAATTATTATAAAATTATTGTTAGATGCAAGCAAATGATGATTAAGTTGATTAGTCGTATCATGAAATTGTTGAAAAAAAATGTTAAGTATTTGATTTAAAATATGTATATAAATCGTTAATATAAAAGAATTATATTTTAAAAATATTTAAATATATGATGTAAATATTTAAAATTTATATTTTTTAATTTTATTTTATATTTCAATATAGTTGTTATTACATTTTAAAACAAATATATAATATAAACAGTGTCATATATTAATGTTTCAAAAAATGACTTGAACGTATGGTATACACGATAATTTTTTTGTTTTCTTTTTCATTTCTTTTAACTCAGCAATCCTATTTTGATGAAAGATAAAACATAAATAAATATTAATATCTTTGACCCTTGTGACCCTGTTAGTTTATGTATGTCGTCATCTAATAATGGGTTTGATATGAGAAATATTTTTATTCACAATATATTATTTATATACTTTCGTTTTTCATCTAAGACCGTGTATGGCTCTTCTTGTCTCCCGCTACTTTCCCTTTGCCGGTTAATCTTGCTTACCACTTTACTCAGACATCAAACCCTAACCCTAATTCTCATCTCCATATTTCGATATAAACCCCTCATTACCATTCTTCTGCCCACCAATTTCGACAATTTTCTCCCCTTTTCGATTTGTCTTTTCTATTGCAAGGGTTCTATTCACAAATTGAGGCATGAATCGTGCATCGGTGTTCCGGTAGAGCATAATACGTAGGGGGTTAACGGAGCTGCGAACGATTGCATGGGTTTAGAAAATGCCGGAGCTTCGTAGCGGAGTTCGCCGTGGACGTGGCCGCGGGCAGAAAACGTCGGAGACAGCGAGGAAGGAGGTGAAGGCTCGTGCGGCGCCGAGGGGGAGACCGAGGACTAGATTAGCGGCGAAGGAATTGGAGCGACAGGAGCCGTTGATCGCGATTCCGGAGCCTGCAAAGGAAGAGAAGAAGGACGAGGGTGTGGCCGTGAAAATGGTTGACGAAAGTGGTGGCTTGAGTGGCAATAAGGCTGAGGAAGATGCCATCACTCCACCTTTTCCAGATAAGGCATGTGATTGCGACTCTTGTTTTATTTTTCTGGTACCCGAAGTTTAAAATGTTTTGCTCATGAAAATTGAAAAAAAATAAAAATCTGAGTATACGATATTTAGTTTTCGATTTTGTCAATCTCGGAGTAAATCAGTGTTTCTTCTGTCTGCTGGATCAAATTTGGGGAGTCAATTTGTTACAAAAGTTCATAGATTTAAGGAATAATGTTACGAAGTTGACGTAATCTGGGGCTATGTTGATGGAAAATAATTAGTTTGCCACAAATTTGATAAATTTAGGGGTTCAGTTGCATAAAAACAAAATTTCGCCAAACAAATTGTCGAATGATATCACCGTTGTCTTTTAGAATGAAATTGTATTTTTATTCCTTTTTATTTTATGGAACGCATTCTTTTGGTTATGATGTTAGTGATTGTCACGGATGTCTTTGAAGTTGTTGGCATATTGTTGTTGCTTAGTCATTGAATTATTTATTTTTAATAAATTTAAAAACTTGAATTTGTTTTCAATGCCAAAGGTTCAAGTGGGAGGATCACCTATGTACAAGGTAGAGAGGAAACTGGGTAAAGGAGGATTCGGTCAGGTTTTTGTTGGCCGTCGTGAGCGTGCGACAGGTGCTGGGGCTGTGGAGGTAAGTTTCTCCAAATTTCATCGGGGCTTTGTGTGTTAATTGGTTTGATATGGCTTTAAGTTGATTTCTATCCGTGTCATTTCCCAGGTGGCTTTGAAATTTGAACATACAAACAGTAAGGGCTGTAACTATGGCCCTCCTTATGAGTGGCAAGTATACAAGTAGGTACTTTATTATGTATATATATTTCATTTTATATTTTATATTGGGTTGTGATCAAGTATGTATAGTTAAAGTTTGACTTATTTTTTGTCAAAAGCACACTTGGGGGTAGTTATGGAATTCCCAAAGTACATTATAAAGGAAGACAAGGAGAATATTATATAATGGTATGATCTATTCTACACAATAACTACTGTGCTATATCATTGCCACCTTAGCAATTCTACTATTTCCTTTATGTGCAGGTTATGGACATACTTGGTCCAAGTTTGTGGGATGTCTGGAATTCCTCTAGCCAGATGTGAGTCTAAGTGTGCCTGTTTCTTGGCTTTATGATTGTTTTATGCCACACGTATTAATTAGATCAACGGTTGTAATATACTGTTTTTATTTGTTTGGGGTTTCTTTTACGAATTCACATTGAAAAAGATGACTGAATGTTCATTTTCTTCTCTGTACATAATAAGTGATTAGAGTATAAACAAAAAGCAAAACAATGTTTGAGTGACAAATAGTTGTATATGTTCTGTTGTTCTAAAATATTTTTTGGCATCAGGTTTGTTATCCTAATTTCCATTTCTAATAAAAATAACTAACGTGGATAATTCTTGTGTATGCATGATTTTGTTTAAAGATGTATACATTTTTTCTTTGATCTAGAATTGTGCCATCTACTTCCATGACTGTTACCTTAACCTTTTGTTTCTTTTCCTTGCCAGTATTTTTGTTTCATTAAATTTTTTTTCTCCTTAGCATTTAGAACTCCATTTGTTTGAATATATGCAACACATCATGTCTAAATTTTACAATTAATTTCATTTTCATTTCCCTGACTTTTTTTTTAATAATAAATGTATAGGATGTCTTCTGAAATGGTCTCGTGTATAGCGGTTGAGTCCTTATCAATACTTGAGAAGATGCACTCAAAAGGGTATGTTATTAGTCAAACACATTTGTTTGAAACATTTTTTCATCTTTCTTATTACGGAGTTTTCGGTCGTCTATGAATTGATTCAGTTATAGTTCCTGAAATTCCAAGTTAAAAACTTGATCTCTTTGTTCTTGTTTCTCATTTTAGTTATGTACATGGAGATGTAAAACCAGAGAACTTTTTACTTGGTCAGCCAGCTACAGCACAAGAGAAGAAACTGTATCTCATTGACCTTGGATTAGGTTAGTTATTGTGATACAATTTTAAATGTGCATTTTAGGTTTCTTTCTTATGAATCCCTTCTTAATATGTGATCACTGTTTCTCAGCAACAAAATGGAGAGACACCTCCAGTGGACTGCATGTTGACTATGATCAACGCCCTGATATGTTTAGGTTTTCTTTGATCTCTCTTTCCCCTTGCAGTTCTCTTTATTTAATGGTTTTCTTGCATATGGTTATTGGTAATTTTGAGCCTTATCTATTTATGTAGAGGGACTGTTCGATATGCTAGTGTCCATGCTCATTTGGGGAGAACTGCCAGTAGAAGGGATGATCTTGAATCTCTTGCATACACTCTCGTCTTCCTACATAAGGGTCGATTACCATGGCAAGGTTATCAGGTACATGGATTTATTATATATGATTATCAAGCATTTTTCCTGTGCAGAACACATTAACGTTTGTAACTTTTTATACCAATCTTGTTACCTTTTCTGTTAGGGTGATAGCAAATCCTTCCTTGTTTGCAAAAAGAAGATGGGGACATCTCCTGAGACGCTGTGCTGCATGTGCCCTCCCCCTTTTAGGCAGTTTCTTGAGATTGTAGTGAATATGAAATTTGATGAAGAACCTAATTATTCCAAGCTCATATCTTTGTTTGATGGTATGATTGGACCCAATCCAGCATTGAGGCCTATTAATACTGAAGGTGCCCTAAAGGTAATAACTTTAGTATATCTGGATTACTTTTTCTTTTCTTCCTCTGGTTTGTCTTTGTGTTCATTGCAAGTGTACAGCTACTCAACACAAAAGTTTGGCAGGTTGGGCAAAAGCGGGGTAGATTGAATATTGAAGATGATGACTCACAGCCAAAAAAGAAGGTTCGTTTAGGGCTTCCTGCTACACAATGGATTTCAATTTACAATGCAAGAACACCAATGAAACAAAGGTAGAACACGCTTTTCACATTTTAGCTGTTTCCTTCAATACAGCAATCAAATATTCAAGGGTGAACTTGAATATGTTATACCCGAGTTGCTTGTGACTTTTGAATTGGTTTCATTTCAGGTATCATTACAACGTGTCTGATGCAAGGTTAGAACAGCATGTTGAGAAAGGGATTGCAGATGGCCTTCTCATTAGTTGTGTATCCTCTTGTGGCAATCTTTGGGCCCTTATTATGGATGCTGGAACTGGTTTTACTGCTCAAGTTTACAAGTTGTCAACGTTTTTCTTGCACAAGGTGAGATTTGTTGTATGTATCTTTAATACAATACCCTGTGATTAAACTTATTCACGCAAATGTTTCTTTGCAGGAATGGATCATGGAGCAGTGGGATAACAGCTATTACATTACTTCTATTGCAGGGACCAGTAATGGCAGCTCTCTTGTGGTGATGTCAACAGGTTTGATTGCTAAAGGATTCACTTTCTTCTGTGGTGAAATGGTCAATAGTTATATTACTTGTCATAGTTGATTAATCATGTTATCAAATATATTTACAAAATTTATTCCAGAGGTGAAATCTGTCTCCAAGTATTATATTTTAACTCGTGGTTTGTTTTTCACTCATCAAAATATAATATAAGACAGATTTCTTTCAGAGAATCGTGGTAATAATTTCATTTCAGGTACATAATGAGACTCACAAGAGGAGTGAATAACTTAGTATGTATAATATATCTTAGTGTTTTGTTGATTGTAGTAGTGCTGTTTGATGTGGCTAGGTTAAGCCATTTGTTGTCAATTGTGCCTTTGCATTTATTTTTTTCCCTTATTTTTTTAATCTGATTTTTTAGTGCTTTTGTTTGAACTAGATGGATTTCTGAAGAGATTCAACGTACAGTGCTTCTGCAACTGTCCCCTCTGATTTTGTTCTGATGTATGGTCTATAATTTCTGCAGGTACGCAGTATACTCAACAATCTTACAAAGTAAGCGAATCTTTCCCCTTCAAATGGATAAACAAGAAATGGAGAGAAGGTTTTCATGTCACGTCAATGGCTACTGCTGGAAGTCGCTGGGGTGTTGTTATGTCTCGGAATTCTGATTACCTTAAACAGGTTTGCTGTTAAAATTTTATTTCATTTATGGCATATTGGTACAACAGTTATGCGTTTCTCAGTGTGCAATTTCCTGACTCTGTTCTGTATGTTCTGCAATGGGGGTCGAGCTTGACTCCATACTTTTGCATATATGACATTCTGTGACATGTTAGCTTATACTTGCTACTAGGCTTCCTTCATGATGTCTCACCATTAACCTTTTAATTGTAGTCGGTTGAACTTGATTTTCTCTATCCAAGTGAGGGTATCCATAAACGTTGGGATAAAGGTTATAGGATTACAGCAACTGCAGCTACATTGGATCAATGTGCTCTTATATTAAGCATTCCGAAGCGCAGGCCTAGTGATGAAACTCAGGAAACTCTACGTACAGCTCAATTTCCCAGCACGCATGTTAAGGTAAGGGAAGATGAGATGACTGACAAATTGATTTCATTAAATTAATAATGTTTTTTTTTTTCTTATTTTTGGTTCTATTGTTCAGGATAAATGGTCAAAAAACCTCTACCTTTCCTGCTTGTGCTACGGGCGGACAGTATGCTGATTTCTGCGACATGTTATTGACAAGCAGATTATGGGTCGTCAATTGCCCAACCACACGAAGAAGAAACTAATTGTGCCAACAGAGAATCATATTTTATTCTGTTATAAGAAAATATGATTCTGTTCACAAAAAAGAAACTAATTGTATCAACAGAGAATCATATTTGGTTGTGTTATAAGAAAATATGATTCTATTCACTCCCCTTTAATTTCACTGGGGAATGTTCCAAGAGTAATGAATTGTGTTTAGAAATGTAATGATCCTCCACTATGTATATGTAGATTTTATATTTTTTGTTTCCGCACACCGCGTGCTTAATGTAACTAATGCTCAATCAAGTATGTGATGAGATTTTTCAGATTTATCTCCATGACATACTTGTAAAAGGAAACACAATTGCGCTGTATGCCATCCTCGCTTTAAATTTATGAATAAAGAAATTATTCTCTTTATGCGATCCATTGTTGTACGACTGTTACTGTTGGCCATACAAATGACTTGACAGTCCTCCATTCACGACTCCGTGGCATAAACCTTTACTGGCTGGGTGGGCTGATGAAAAGTGACGGTGTGGAAAAATGAAATAATTAAAAAAAATTAAAGATAGCTCGTTAAAGAATAGAAATGAATAAAAATTTGTATGTATCTATGATTAATTGAATAAAATTATAAAAATTGAAAAAAAAAATCATAAATAGAGATGATGTTTGCATTTGGTGATTGTAGGTGATTTGCTTCAAAAGTTTGGTGAAATCCACGTAAAGAAAATTTCCTACCAATCGGAAGAGATTTGACTAAAAATCAACCTGAAACATGTACAAATTTTTTGTTGTCCTTGGCAGATATTTTGTGTGTTGATTAAAATAGTTACCACTCCCACACTCCATCCATCTTCATTTCCAACCTCACTCTTCCTACATCAATCCATTTCCCAGCTCATGCCTATACATCTACATATGAATTCTAAATATTTTAAGGGCCACTTGTTATTTCAAATTTTTATTTCATTTTTATAAATTAAAAAAAAAGGTAATGTGAAAAAAACTCATTAATTCATTTGCTCTTTTATAATTTAATAAGAATTTAATATAAATACATTAATTTGGTAAAGAGAATTACATTGTCAATTTGTCATTTATGATAAATTCTAAATAGTCCTATACCCTCTTAAAATGATGTGATTTTAAGAACTATAATTAAAAATACTCGGACAGAAAAATCCTTTCTTTTTGAGATAGACATAAAAATCCTTAATATAGTGAAAATTCTCATATCCTCCTTAGATTGAAAAACAAAATTCTCACAGAAATCTTCATTCCTCTCCAACAAGAAGAATTATGAAAGAACTTCTCATTACAGCAGTTAAAGTATCAGAAGAAAATTAAACCTTATATTTATTGTATAGGAGTGCTCTAAAGACAACTTGCAAACGTCCAAATAAATACATGAAACATTCTGAGAACTGTTTCTTCTATAGATGCTTGGCAAATATGGCCTCAACAACACCTTGAGCAATTGGATGGTAACACTCACGAGCCTCTGAAAATAGTGTTTTGGCAAATACTTTACCATCTTCGTTCCCACTGCCTTTCACGAGAGCAGTGTAAAGTGGACGAAGATACTTCATCCTCCCAACTCCTTTTAAGGTTTTCTCCACTTCATTGTAGTAAGTTTTGCATCCACATGAAATAGCCCTTCGGAGAAATGACACCTTTACCTCGTAATCTTTTGACTCAGATAACTTGTAGCGTGAATCCAAGTCTATGATCTGCATGACATGTAATGTACAAAAGGATTAAGATGGAACAAAACGGGTAAAATATGTGAAATGAGGCTGACACTTAACATTAAACTAATATATTGGATTACTAATTTTGGCATTTAGAAAAGAGATCGTATAATGCATCACAAGAGCTTTTTATATGAATAAACACAGTAGAGTTGTGAATGAAGTACTTGTCTGCATTTTAGCAGAAAATGCCTGTGGATATAACCTACCAAATCGAATCAAAATGTATTATAGAGTAGCTAGTGAAGTTATAGGAACTAAATTAAAAAAAGTCTTAAAGAATTTCCATGCATGTTTTCCTGACCATTATCACCTTTATCCATCTAATAAACATGTTATTTAATATTTAACCCATAAAGGAGTACATAGATACCATAACACACATCAAGCAGGGCAATGCCAAATCATAGTGTAAGCACGAGCAGATAAATTTAACCTTAAAAAACAATAATAAAGTGGAGGAACAGCTAATAAAGTTGTGTAGGAATCAATTACCTCAAAGAGTGTGGCTATTTTTAACAAACCACTATATTCCATATGAAAATAAGAAGTTAATCTAAATGGAGTTACAGGAAGGGAGGAAAAAGACCAGTAGGAATCTGAGAAAATAGTATTAACCTGAGAAGTTTCAATCGATTCTGGCAAGTTGTCCAAGTAGAGCTCCCACTCCTGACCTTGCCAATCAGCAACTTCATCCTCCCTTGGCATCCTCCCATTTTTGAACTCATTTGCCAGTGAAACAATCAGTTTATAAACAGTGGAATCAGGTTCATGAGCATCAGGAGGAATGCCAGTACCTTCCGTCCACAGTACTAAGTCAATCAAGTTCTCTATGCCAGGTATGTTAGCTTTAAGGAAGTCAATGAATGTTTCAGTATCAATTGATTTGAACTTGAATGTAGCAATATATTTCTTCAGAAATTCATCGAATGCAGGCCTCCCAACCTGTCACAACCATAAGAGAAGAAAATAAAAAGCTCAAATCCAACCATTACGTTCAGGTTTAGCTCCCAAATGACAAACAAACCATGCACACATTTTCCAACATAAAATAAAAAGAGAAAAAGAAACACACTCACAAAGTATGAACATAGTTTAACAATTGTTACTTTTAGTTAATGCAGAATCTCTCCGAAGCACAAAAGATATCAGGAATATGATGCAAAGTGGGCGTGTATATATCAGAACAAGCAAAAAAAAATTCAGACACCTGTCGTTCAATGCGCCATAAGAACTGGAAACCTTTCTCATACGGAATCTGAGAATACACATTATCTGGGTCAATTCCTTGCTGATTATTTTTTAGCTTTGTGAACTCCAAGTTGTCCTTGAACCTCTCAACATCCTCATTCAAACCCCTCCAACCAATTCCAATATTCAATGCGGCTCTTTGTTCTCCTTGTACAGCCTCCACAATCCTCCTCTCTGCATAAGTAGTGAAGCCCTGAAACCACAATCAAGAATAATTTCCCTCACAGATTCAACTTTGCTGAGAGGAACCCCAAAACAATTCTGTTTATGAATTAAAAATCCAACACCAAGCAACAGAACATTGTTTGTTTCTCATGGGAACTTATCAAATACTGAAACTAGAGGGGGAAAAAAAAAAGCTTGATGCTTTTTAACAATCAATATACTCGTAAGTCAGAACTGCACATATATAAATTTTTTCTACCCATCGAAATTTGCTTTCATTAAAAAGCCATCCTGGACCCAGAATAGCTATTCAATGTGTGAATATCTACTTATAATTTAGTTAGCTAAAATGTCTGATCTTTTTTGGTGAACCACAGTTATTTGGAAATACTAAACAAGCAGATATGTATGACATACCAACACGATTTGTTAGAAGACACGACATGAAACCAAACACGCAGCACAATACCTCGTTCAACCAGAAATGCTCGTTGGTCTTGTTGGTGATCAAATTCCCAGTCCAACTATGAGCAAGCTCGTGAGCAACAACCTGTGCCCCGGTCGCATCCCCCTTAACGACAGTGGGCGTCAAGAACACCATCCTAGGGTTCTCCATCCCTCCATAGGGAAAACTAGGCGGCAAAACCAACAAATCAAACCTCTCCCACTCGTACGGTCCGAACAGCCTCTCCCCTTCCCTTATCATCTCCTCCGTCCCGGCGAACTCCGCCGCCGCCGAATCCAACACGGCGGCCACATCCTCCGCGTACACCCTCGTCCTGGGCCCCACCTCCCTAATCCCAAGAGCCCCGACCGCGAACGCGAAGAGGTAAGGCGGCACGGACTGCTCCATCGCGAACTCCTCCACCACCCTCCCTTCCGCGCACCACGATGAGGGTAGAACCACGTCCAAAGCGTCGTCGTTTCTGGGCGGACGACGCTCCACGTGACGCGCCGCCATGACGGCGGACAGGTGAGAAGGGATGTTGAGGCGCGCGGAGTAGCGAATCCGGACGGCGGGGGTGTCCTGGCAGGGGAAGACGGCGCGAGCGTGGATGGCCTGGCATTGGGTGTAGACGAAAGGGTGAGACTTGGTGAAGGTTTGGGGTGGGAGGAGCCACTGGAGTGCGGAGGAGGAGGGGGAGGTGGAGTATCTGATGAGGAAGGAGGCTTGATTGGAGAGGGTGAGGGAGAGGTGGGAGCCTCTGATGGGGTCGGGCGAGGAGAGTGTAAAGGGGATGGTAGCTCTGCTGCTGGGCTCGATCACGGCGTCGATGCTGAGGCCGCGGCTGTCCAGAGAGAAGGGCCCGCTGTGGGGCCTTGCCAGAGTGAAGAGTCCGGCGCCGTGAATTGTGGCGGTGGAGAAGTCCAGATACAGACTCAGCGATATGTGTGTGGTCGGTGGGTCGGAAGAGTCAGTGAACGAGTGAGGATCAACCGCTGCCATTTCCACCTTCTTCAAACTCTCTGTCTCTCTCTCTTTTGCCTCTGCTTTTTCTCTTTTACATCTTATAGGATCAAATCAAGGGAAAAACTTTTTTTAATGCGCCCCACTGTATTAATATAATATTTTTCTTCATACTTTATCTCCACAATAAGGATGCTACGACTTGATGATATATTTTCATAAAGCAAAGGAAGCACGAAGAACAATTTGATTTGGCTTTATTCCATGTATGTGATCATAATTGATTATAATCAAGGTTCCGTTTTGGCTTTTCAATTAATACTTCATTTTATTTTTTTCCTAACGATGATTCGTGTTGTCTATTTTCAGCTATTTCTTTTCTAACAACTGAAGAAGTTTTGATTGAGTGAATTATATTTTTCCATTGTTACCTTCACATGCACTTTAAGCCTATCACATATCAACACATTTCATCAAGTGAATGGTTAGTGTTTGTATTCATCTATTTGAAGAGAAAGGCGTGGGAAAATTTGAGAGTGAAAATAATGTAACATTCACGTGGTTTTCTGTATGTATATAGCATACTTAGTAAATCATATCAGAGGCATATCAGGCTGCATGCATCCCTTTTAGTCAAGAAATTATGGTTGTGTTTACAGAACGGATCATTATAGTTCAATCATAGTCCTGCCACGTAGTTATTTATCTTAAGAGTATAATTTAAATATATATGGGGAAATTGTTTGTGAAGGGGAGTTATTGTTTTGAGTGTGAGATGAGTTTGTGTGGTTCATTTGTGAGAGATAAGTTGATTGAAGTTGATTTGGTGTGTGGTGTGTATGAGTGATGTTACTGAGAAACTGGAAAAAAAAAAGGGAAAAAAATCACAAAAAACCTATTTTTCATCTTTAAACTCATAAATAATCGATTATTCTTTCTTTTGAATATATAGGAATCAATTATCGACTCTTTTACACATAGATAATAGATTTTTCTTAGACAAAAATCGATTATCGATCTCTTTTTATGTTGATGCATGTGATCATGTTTATTGTTTTGATTTGTATGTTAGTTGTGCTTATGGATTATATATGCTAATAGTTGTGAGAAGTGTTATTATTGTGCGTGTTCTCAATTCATAGAGAATCAATAATACGTAAAGTTGATGAAACGAGAATTAACTATTACTTTATTTGAATATTACTTTATTTAAATACATGATTTTTTTCTTGATTTAAATACATGATAATTGATTCTCACTTACTTTAAATGCATGTAATAAAATTGATTATTTATTAAACAATATTCAATTCTAGAACTTATAAAAATCAATTATTATTTTAACAAAAATATTAAATTATACATAAATGAGGAGATTTTTTTTTCAACAATAATCACCTTGTAAATTTATTAATGTCATATCATACATGTATTTAATTATTAATATTAAATAATAAATTATATACTTTTAGTACTAATAATATTAATAATTTATTTTTATATTTTTTTCTCAAATCATTTCTTATAATTGATAAAGAGAATCAATTCTCACATTAGGACAATTAATTCTTATTCATTCTAAATTTTTTTATTAATATTAAAATATATTTATATTTAATTATTACTATTAAATAATACTTTAGATTTATTATATATGTATTCAGAATTAATTATATTATTATTGTATTAATATTAATAAGGATTTTATTTATTAGTATATTAACGATAAATTAATAATTTTATAATTATCAATTATTTTAAATATTTTTTAATATATAAATATTTAATATGATTTTGTAAGTTAATTATAAAATATAATTATAAATTTTTGTGAAAAGAATATAAAAATTAGATAATTAATGTCAAAAAAATATATTATTAATATTAATAATATTGTAAATATTAGTTTTTATTTTAGAAAAAAATAATATTATTATTATTGGTGTATTAGGACTTTAAACAAAATAATAAAAAAACTAGTTGAAATAATAATAAAAAATAAATAAAATTTTAAATTTATTATTTTTATAATATTTGTAGTTTAATATATATATATATATATATATATATATATATATATATTACCTTATATAATTATTTTTATATGAAATCTATTATAATAATTATTTTAAAATTTATAGGAAGTTTATTTTTATTACTAGTTTACAGTAATTTTAATATGAAACAATTTAAAAAAAATATGGATAAATAATTTTTTAAAACTTTCTTATTTTAAATAAAAGCTCACATCTTACTATATTATAATTTATCTTAATTATATTTGTTTTAAATTATATTTTTAAGATAAGAATAAAATTATAATCTTATAATTTCATTAACTAAAATATTTTTTTAAATCTATTAAATTAATTATATCACTTACAAACGTTCTTCTTATTTATTTTTATTTTTTGTCAATTTTTCCTTTGATCCAAACAATTTTATTTTGACCTCACTTTCTCTTTCAATCCATTCATTTCTACTCACCAAATCCATATTTACATCTTAACACAGGCTAAAAATAAGAAAGAACGATAAAGAAAAAAAGGCACAACTAGAACGCAGTATCTGTATTTATAAAAACAAGTGAAATAAAATAGAATAACATCATCTCTTTGTTTACATTATTATAATATGACTGAAATATAATCCAAGTTCAATTAAAATACTACTCAAATATATTTTATAAAATATTACAATTTGTTTCTTATTAACAACTTATCAACTTTTCAAGTCATGGGTTGACACTTTCCACAAGAATTTCAAAATAATACGTCACAATAATTAGTTATAGTTATAAAGTCAAAATTAATGACCATAATTGAAAATCATAGAATCCATTGGTGATCTATATATTTTGTGAATGTGTATTATTAAATTTGGTCATTTGTTTATTTAAGTTAAAAAATATTATTTTATTGATAACATCATTTAATTGTTAATATATATCATAACAACATGTGTTAAGTTAATTGAAAAATATATTATTAACATTTTTCTAAATTAAGTAATTAACACCATTACTATTATACCGTAATTAGCAATTGTATTGTTTAATTTTAAATAATTGGGTAATTAAAATTTATGTGAAGATCCAAATTGCATGTGAGAAGGGGCTGGTAAAGTCCAATGCAGAAGTGGGCCTGGGCCGTGAAAGTAAAGAAGCGAAACGGCCCATAGTTAATCCAAGCTAACTTAACCAACCGAATCGTGAACGTTTGCAATAAGCAGAAGACAGAGAGGGAAACGAAGAAGGAAGAAAGAAGGAAAGAGTGTCTGGTGTGGTAATTTGTTGAAGGAGGGAGAAAGAGAAATGGACGACTACACGAGAGAAATGATGGACCTCAAGACATTGGTCACTCGCACTCTCGAGAAGAAAGGCGTTCTCGCCAGGATCCGTGTACGTAAATGCATACACACATTCATTTTCCTCTGCTTAGGGTTTCCTCATTCTAATTCCCCACCGTCTAGATCCATCCAATTCGCTCGCGCAACGGAATTTTGAGGTTTTGTTGCGTTTTTTGTCTCAGGCCGAACTCAGAGCGAGTGTGTTCGAGGCCATCGAAGAGGAAGATCGTGTGATTGAGAAGGACCAAGGTCTACCACCTGCATTGCTAGGTAGCTGCAACGATCGAGCTAAACAGCTTCACGCTTCTCCTCCAGGTTCCTCTCTTCCCGCCATTTTCTCGATCCCTAACCCTACTTTCTTGCTCCTGTTTCCGTTTTGCAAATCTTCTGTGATTCCTTCGTCGTGTTGTTACTTTACGTGACCTGAGTCTGTAACCAGCTTCAATTACGGTTGTTACTAGTTGCTCTTCTGCTCTTAATGCTTCCGATCTGATTTGTCATTTTTTTATGAAAAATGATTACCTATGCTTAGTTACTTGTGGCTGTGAATCTTATGCTGCTAGTACAATGAACTTCTAGGTTACCGTGCAATGAAAATGAATGCGACGCATTTGCAGTTATTCCGTTTAAGTTTTTTTGGTAATTGCCGTGCAGGTAGACTTCTTACGGCGATGATATGTGAGTACCTTGACTGGGCACAGCTCAGTCACACACTAAAAGTTTACCTTCCTGAATGTAATTTGGTAATTAACTTTTTTTTTTCATCTAGTTTGTGTGTTAATTTCCGTTGTGAGGCTTTTGGCTGATTTTTTTTAATTTTTTTTTTTCAGGAGAAAGAATTTTGGAAGACGGAGCTTAAGGAGTTTAGTACCAAAAATGGTTATGATCTCAACAGAAACCGAGATAGCCCTCTACTCTTGGATGTGCTCGAAGGATTCTTGAAACTTGAGGTTTGTCAATTAGTTGCTTTCATGATATATTTTTTCCATCTGCTATTTCATTTTGTGCTGATCTTTCTAAATAATGGTTTTTGTACTAGATTGTGCTTAGGTGCGTTTTTGGATCCTGAATTAGTATAGGAATTAAGGCCGTGCTAGATTGAACATCTACAAGGTGCCCGTATTGGAAAAATTTAGTTCTGTTCAAGCTAGCAAGCAGTTCCTGTGTTTTATGCCATACCTTGTAGTACTTCAGTTGGGCTAGCTTGAAGCCTTGTTGCAATAGGAGCCATGTAGAAATGTTGTAGGGTCTTCTGGTTAGATTAATTTGGATTTTAAGAATTGTAGAAATGATATAGTGAAATTTGTATGAATTCATCTTTGGAGATTTGGAAAGGAGAGTGTTGATTGCAATTAAGGTTGAGGAGATAATGATATATAGGCTAAAGTCATGGTACTCCCCACAACTATTAAAAATTACCTTGAAATTTCTGTGTATAGGTTACATCAAAATAAAGGCAGCCTGGATTGAATGACCTATATGCTATAGTCTAATTTTTTGGGTGACTCTCTTTGATTGAGTTGTGCCGTGCACGTGCACGTGCACATATATGAGCATGACGACAAGCTAATGTGCAGAAAGAAAAAACATGGCAGATGTTTGTTTAAAATGGTGTAGGTAGTCGTTGGCTACTTTATGTTGATGATACATGACAGTATAGTGGGGAAATTGTCATTTGTAATGTGCAGTGTAAAATTTAATGTTTACCAAACCCTTGGTATACCATTTCATGTGTAAAATATAGTTAATACCTTTTAGAATGCTGCAAAGGTATACTGATTTTTTGATTAATTGTGGTGCATATGCTTCTGTAGAATTTATCCCAAGCAAGGGCTAGCGGTAGAAGATTTACCACTTCAGAAACTGAGCCATTACCAAACTCAGAATCACGGAATGCCCGAAGGCATTCATCCTCATCTGTTGCTGGTGGCTTACCTCCACTAGGAAGGTGCATAACTGACCTTGTTTCTCTACAAGTTGGTCGAATATTACTTTATTATTTTACTTATTTATAATTTTATATCTTCACAATTTCATTTCTGGTAGACATTTTTTATGTAACTCACCTATTTGTTGCAGGGCTGTTCCTTCGTCCCAGGCATCATCTGGTGGGTATTTCCTGTAATTGACTCTTTACCTTAAATTATTTACGTTCTTGAAATTTCCCTTAATTTACACTCTAGCATTCAGATAGAAGAGGAGGATCCTCCATGTCTGCTTACAGGAAGGATGAGTACAATTGGCGATATGACAGTGATGAACTTCCTGAGGACATAATTCAAACTTCAAATGCATTGGAAAATCTTCAATTAGACAGAAAAGCTCGGAATCTAACATCTTCATGGCGGTTCGTCTTAATTCAACTCTGATTTTATTCTTAAGTTACTAAAAGCACAAAGCATATAATATTTTAGATTTTATCACCTTCTCAATGGTTTGTTTAGATATTAAAAAATATTAATGTTATCTGATTGTGTTTGTTTGCAGACACGCTGGTGATGGAATCAATGAGGATGATGGCAGGGTTGATCACGCGTAGGGACAGACATTGCTTGCATAACTGCATCTGCTCCTGTATTTTACTGTGTATTCTTAATTTTCTGCCTCTGATGATGATTGAATGAGCCTAATTTGATGTAAGATCATTTAATTGTGATGTGCTGTAGTGTTTTTTATCAGCTATTTTTCTCAAAAATGTCCCCTTTTTGGCTTATATTTGAGAATTTTATTGAGTGTCCATGATTTTGGCTGCTAACATAATAAGCACCAAATTTAGGGCATATATTATCAGCGTCTAGTAGAAAAATATTCTCATGATTGAATACGAGGACATTGGATTTTTTTTGTTTTCTTCATGAGAAATGTTAGTAACAAACACTTTAATAATTTTGAACATTATAATGGGTAAAATTTATCCGAAATAAGGAATTTGTGAGTCTCCTTTTCATATATACAAATTACTTTTAAGTAAATTTTAGATAGTCTTACGTAGATTTGAACACTTCTTGCTAATGCTTTAGAGTCACCCATGAATAGGACTACATGTATGCAAAACCCAACGGTATAACGAAGAAATCATTCATTCTTCACAAGTTATTTCAAAATGAGCAATTCAGCAAAATCCATTCGTGTACTGTTAGTGTAATGGCTCTAATTGTGTTCCGCAGGGTAAATATTAGTTAAATAAGCAGGATTGTAAGTAAAACATGGAAATGATATTGGATTCCGAATAGTCACAAAAAATGGTAATATATAAAATTTTGAAATTAATGATTTTCTGAAATTTTAGATGAAAATGTAAGCGAAGAAAGAGAGAAAAGAAAATAAGAAAATTTTGTAGTCTACGGTTACTTATGATTTAGTGTTTAAACAATTTTCTATTTTCTTTCTATCTTTTTATAAATTAGTGCAAAGAAATTATAATATAATTGAGGCATATTTATATAAGAAAAAGTGAGACGGGAGATTTTTTTATATATACTTTTATAAATATGTATATCTATGTAGAAAATATAATTATGCAAACAATCATGCGATAATAGTTGTTTAGTAAAATGGTAAAATTATATTTTGATGATATAGAAGAGGAGATAAAGAATGATCTTAATAAAATACTTAATTTAATCTTATAAAATTAGTTGGGTGAGAATTATATTTCTAATTAACGTAAATTTTCATCATATCTTGTCATCAAATAAAAAATAATATATACCGAAAATAATTGTATAAAATTATATCTCCATTATGTATTATTAACGAAAATATAGATTTGTATATGTATTTTCTATTATATCATTTTATTTTATTGAGTTAAAACTTAATATGTATATAAGTTTAATTATATATTTTTAATAATATATACTATTATTTTTTAAAAATTAATAAAAAAAGTTTGATTTTATGAATTTATATATTGAGTAGTTATTTTAAGTAAATTGTATAATTATTGATTATTTTCTTATTAAATAATTAATTACGTTTATTTTGATAACAGAGGTTAAACAATTAATTAAAGTAAAAGTAGGTACTTACGTTAATGATTATTAATTTATATTTTTATTAAATAATTAATTATTTTTATTTAATAAAAAAAATACTCTTCTAAAAAATAGATCAAAAGGTAATTAAGAAGAATATTTCTTTTTATTTGATGATATAGATTATTAGTGGAAATATAGTCGCAACTTAAAAATAATTACCAAAATAATAATAATAAAATTTACAATAAAATGTGTACACCAAACACGCTTGGTGTGTGTCTATGTCCGATTTTCTATCACGTTATTTTATGACGTCAAATATAATTAGTGATAAAAAAAATACTCTACTTAACATTTGTCAAATAATACATTTCCCATAAATTTCATACGGTACAATCCATACGTACTGTTTCACATAATATAACTTTTTTTAGGAAGTATAAGATAACTTATCAAATGCATCACTTACGTATATTTACAAAACAATTGTAAAATATTTGTATAAGCAGCACCGAATGTATTCTATAAATAGTATTGTACATTTTTAATAGCACAACTCTTGATACCGAGGTCTTGTGTTGAAGTCAAAGATATCCTAAAAATAGAAAGTGTATCGGAGAGTGAGGCTCTGAGAGACGCTGGGTTCGTTAGATTGTTTGAAGAAATGGTTGCAATGTACTAAATTTAGCACATGGGAAAGACGAGGAAAAGTTGCCCAAAATAGTGGTTAGTTGGAGGTCAAAGTCTAAACCCCACCAAGGCAATAAAATTTAGGAAACAAAAACTGCCGATCAACCCCAAAAGCCAAAGCCCTTTGGAAATTCCTTCCACCACCAAACCAAACTCATTCATTTTGTTCTTCTTTTCTAATTCCCTTTTTATGGCTACAAACTTCATGGAATAAGAAAAGGAGAAGCATAAAACAAACCATACCAATTCCCACCCAAAGCTCCGTCTCCCTTCCAAAATCAAAGCTTCAACATTGTGCATCTTTTCATCAGAACTAAATCCAATCCTTAAAACTGTCAGTGGGTTTGCAATGCATAAGGAATTATCGAATTACTAAATTTCGCAGCATATCTATCTAAGGTACGATGAAAAACAATGGATTGTTATAATTTTCTTTTTTTATTTCTTTTTGTGTTCTACGATTGATCACATAGAATCTTGTGCAATTTTAAGAGCTGCCCATGGTTCAATTTAATTGATGCCATTTGCTTATTTTTCAATTTCATGTGATTGATGAAAGCCCCATTCTGGGTTTGTTTGGTAGATAGTTAATGAATGGGGTATCTGAATTGATTATGATCTCAAATCCTGGTGCAGGTTGTGGACACTGCCATTTACGTCTTTGATGGTTTCCAGTTTTATGTATTATGGTGTCAGTATTTCTTAATAGGCATTTGATTTGTGGAGCCTGTGAGTTGGGCTCAGTTACGTAGATGATGTAGATAGGAAAGTAGGCGTTTTGATATTGTCATTGACTTTTATTTGATGAATTATTTGTTGGTCAGTTGTGTGTGTGAGACTATGTAAGGGATGGTATCAGCTACGATTAGGCGAATTGTCTCACCCTGTTGGAGATCATCTGATACGGGTGAAATTTCTGGTAGGCATGGAGATTCAAGTGGACGTGTTGATGGTTTGTTGTGGTACAAAGATTCCGGAAGACATGCGCATGGTGAATTCTCAATGGCAGTTATTCAAGCAAACAAATTGTTGGAGGATCAAAGCCAACTTGAATCTGGGCCCTTGAGCTTAACTGAGGAAAATTCTCGAGGAACTTTCGTTGGAGTATACGATGGCCATGGTGGTCCAGAAGCTTCCCGATTTGTCAATGACAGTCTATATAAAAATATCAGGAGTGAGTTTCTTTTTCTTTCTTCACTATGGCATCATAGATTGCTATATCTTGAAATAACTTTTGAAATTAAGTAAATCATCTATTTAGTCTTTGAATTTGAAATGATGATCATTTTGATCCCCCAGACGGTAAAATGGTCCTTGAGTTGTAAATTTTCAATAAACGCTGTCTCTTTATTAGCTAATGTCATGTAATGCTGGCTGAGCTGGTGTGTTAAACAACTGTGTGACATCTAATTGGGCTCACACTTTTTCACCATTTTAAACCAATTTTTCACCTTCACCTCCAAAGCTCACACCATTCTGGCTTCTAAGTAGTGACGGTTCTGAGGAAACATTTTTTGAGCTCTCGTTGTAGAGAAAGATGACAATGATGTGAATGGGGGAGACAAAGGTGAAAAAAAAAAGGTTTTTTAAATGGAGAAAGACATAGAGGAATCAATTTCATCAAATGGTTCATCCAATTTTTGGGCAATTTAGTCCCTCTTATGTGGTGGAATGTGTGCCTAGTTATCTTGCATAGGCTCGTGCCAATTCAGTCCTTTTAACAACATTACATGACACAACTATCAGAAAGAGTAAATGAATTGCTTATTTATAATTTCAAAGACCATTTCATTCATGTCAGAGAATAAATTGACCAACCATGCATTTTCAAGACCAAATTCGTGACACACTCTGAACTTTTATGGATGTGCAACGTGTATAGTTTGCTACTTTGGGTTTTCTTTTCACAAGTTCAAGGGCTGAAATGTTGTTTCAAACAGCTTTATTGCTCTTTGTTTTGATAGACATATATTTATGGTATCCTAACTATAATGAAGCCATTGAACTTGTGAAAAGAAAACCTATTTAGATATCGTCTTCATAATATTTTGTAGTTTTGCATTCTTATTTTTTGGGGTAAAACCAATCATTGTTAATTTCACTCAAATGGAAATCCTGGTTCCTTCCTGCCACTGCATAAACATATGAGCCACTGTTGTCTTCATGCACACTGAGCTTTAGCTGGTTGATCTGTTTTACTGACTTATTGGCTTGATCAAAAAGCAGAATTTACTTCGGAAAATGGTGGAATGTCAGCTAATGTTGTCCATAAAGCATTCTTGGAAACTGAAGAAGAATTTCTTTCTCTGGTCGAGAAGCAGTGGCTGCACAAGCCGCCTCTAGCATCAGTTGGATCTTGCTGTTTGATCGGCATAATATATTGTGGGGAGCTCTATATTGCAAATGCAGGAGATTCTCGAGCAGTATTAGGTAGACTGGATGATGATACAAAAGAGATTAAAGCTGTTCAACTCTCCGAGGAGCACAATGCTAGCATGGTATCTGTCAGAGAAGAGTTGCGCTCATTGCATCCTGATGATCCGCAGATAGTGGTTATGAAACACAAGGTCTGGCGTGTGAAGGGTCTGATTCAGGTGACTACTTTAAAATTTTATCTCGAAGTTTCAGTGTCCAATTCATGCAGACATGTCTTCTATCTATGTTTTGCTTGGTTTTGTTAGAATCACAATTTATCTTTTTCTAATTTTACTTTTCCCGCATTGCTTATTTATAGTTGACCATATGTCTAACTGCATAATGCCACTGAATACAAATCTGCATTCATTAATTCAGTGTTATATGTGAATACTGTCAGGAAACGTCTATAGGAATTAACCAGTGTGATTTACTTGTAAACTCTAATTCCTTTATATGTGCTCCTTTGTTGCATAAAGGAAATTTAATGGCATAGCCAGCATGATGGAGTGAAGAATTGTGTTAATCTGTTGCTTATTCATTTGTAGATTTCAAGATCTATTGGTGATGCCTATCTAAAGAAGGTAGAGTTTAATAGAGCACCATTATTGTCAAAATTTCGACTCCCAGAACCCTTTGAGCAGCCAATCCTTAAAGCTGAACCAGCAATACTAGTACAGAAATTGTGTCCTCAAGATCAGTTTCTCATATTTGCATCAGATGGGTTATGGGAGCACGTCAGCAGTCAAGAAGCAGTTGACATTGTCCAAAGCTGTCCACGTAATGTAGGGTTCTAATTTAGTTAGTTTCCTTTGTATATAACTGTCGTGTCATGTCATAATGTTTGTTACTCGGTTTAAACATTTGATGTTCATTACTTGGACTAGGACTGAAACAATGTACTATAAGGTCTTTGTAAATATTTAACATGGCTATGGCTATGGTTGATTTGTTTTGGTGGTCATTTTTGGTATAAAATATATTGAACAGATGATTGTGATACAGGGAGTGGCAAAGAAACTTGTGAAAACAGCACTTTGTGAAGCTGCGAAGAAAAGAGAAACAAGATACTCAGACTTGAAAAAGATTGACCGAGGGGTGAGGAGACACTTCCATGATGACATCACGGTTATAGTTTTGTATCTTGATTCAAATTTTTTGACCCATGCCAACTCACGTGTACCCTTGGTGTCTATCAAAGGAGGTGGTGATAATGGTTATGGTATTGGTATTATAGATGCCTAGTTCATGAATTTTGGCACCATCCCTCTATTCAATTTGTATTCCAAATGTATATTCCCCCCTCCCCTGGGATTATACTAATAGAATCTCTCACACAAACACACTTGCTTCTCCACTCTACTCTCTTTATTAATTACGTAAGTCATTCAACACTTGAGACTCACTGGGTCAAAACAATAACAGATACGTGATGTTTTTCTAATTTATTTCACAAAATTGTATGCATACATCACCATTGTCATTGTTGTAACTGTTGCCACATTGAAACAACTTTGATTTGTCACGAGAATTCAGAAACTGAATTCCCACCATGAGTTGTGAAGCTTCCTAATGGAAGATGGGATCAAACTCCGGCAAATTAAGTAAAATAAAAGAGATGGTAGTGTAAGACTTCACCCAAATAACTTAAACTCAAAATTAAGCAAAACAGGAAAGAGGGTCCACATATTGAACAAAAGGTTGTCCCTAATCTTACGATAATCCAACCTATCATCTCTTCAGTTATAGAGAACGAATGTCGAAATGTACTTTTGAACAGAATAACACCTTCTGAAAAACACAAGAGTTGTAACCAGAGGTCAATGGTTCTGGAGTTTTCAATAAGGTGAGGATAATCTTCAAATTTAGTTCAAGAATCTTGAACCCCATACTCCTTCATGAGCCACACGTGAGATTCTTCCAAGTCTAACAACATAGAGGGCATAAAAAATATTATAATGTATTATATGTTTAAATAAATTTCTCTATAAATAAAACTAACTCATAATTTATGTATAAGTTCATAAAAAAAAATCTCTTGTATTAATTCTTGATCTTAGCGAGTCAAGAAAATCCAATGTATCTAAACCTTTTTATCTAAACATAAAAAATCAACATTTCTGAACCCCTATATTGTCTGAACTTTCAATGCCGCTCAATTAGTTAGTTTTTCTTGATCGCATCTTATCTATGAATCCAATATTTTGAGAGAACGGGTCAAGACAGACGAAATTGATTAGAAAATCATTCAGCCACATGCTTCAATGAACCAATGATGCGGATATGTGAGGGTGACAGTGGTAGTTAGCATGTTCAATCTTTTCTATGCATGATTATTATTCATTATCTTGGACCAAGTAAGTTGTCAATAACGTTTCTGACAGTGAAATCCACCAAATACATGTTTAGTGTGAATTTTGTTTATCACATCCCAAGTTATTTGTTCCATTCGCTGCACCACAAATGGGTACATTACATAAGAAGGATTTCGATGCATTCTAACGAAATCATAAATAAAAAAAAGTATTGAATAGCGAGGTGCACGAAACTCGAGTCATATTCGATGAACTCTTCTCCGCTCACATGCACAACAACAGAGCACATAAACCATGTGTTTGCTTATTTTGAACTTTAACTGATATTTACGCGTCGTTAAATAATATATATATATATATATATATATATATATATATATATATATATATATATATATATATATATATATATCAGGGTAAAAATAATTGATAGGTCAACTATCATACAATAATTCCAGTTGAATTTTCTCTGGTCGCGATTCATAAAATTACAATGCCTCTAAATTGTAGTTAGCACCTAAAACAAAATCACTACTGTAAGGTTTAAGCATAGCTAGTGTTTACAAAATCCTAGGGTGATCGAGGACCAAAAAAATGTGCACAAAAATAATCGGAAATAGAATAAATGGCACTGTATGGGGATAGAAAATGCATTGGAAAAAAAAAAAAAAACATTTAAGTGCCACTAAAAATGAAACCCCCTTTAGTGAAAATGGGTAAATGTGCGTGAATACATGGAGCATCGGGCATGCTACCTCAACAACACCTTCCATATTTTCTTCATATATACAACCAACGACCATACGGCAAGCCCTGCTGAAGTATAAAGCAAAACAACACCAGAGCCTACTACAATGGCACCTCCTCCTCCTTGGCTGAAAAGAAAAATGGGAAAAGACAGAAACTCAACCAGTTAATCACAACTTGGTTTCAAAATTTACGGGGCAAAAAAGTGAAGGCTTATTACATAAACTGACAATAATATACAAATTCTAACAAATGAACACCTGAAGAAACTTTTCCAAACACGTAAGAGTAAGCATTATTACATATCTTAAGTTTAGAGATAAGATAAGTATTAGTTAAAGGTTAGCAGAATATCAAGTCATTTGTAGATGAGTTTTTCACCTTTTTTTTTCCACCAAAAAAAAAACTAATGATAATTGGGCATCCACAAAAAGTGAAAAAAAAAAAAAATCACCTCAAATCCCGGGTTGCAAGAAGGATGGTTAATGCTGTCATCTGTGAGGCTGTCTTCCACTTCCCCAAGTTATTTACAGCAACAGCCTATTATTTAAAGTTTCACGATACAAGCTCAAAACTTTGTGCTAATATAAGTCAGATGATTCAAGTGTACATGAGGTAAAACAAACCTCTAAAAGCTTACTGTCCTGGGAAGCAGCCCATTCCCTGACTGCGGACATGGTTATCTACATAGCAATTTACAAGAGAAAACTACATGACATTTAAAAAAAAAAAAAAAAAAAATACAAGTCCGTCCAGTAAAACAGACAAGATATGGTGCTTTCAACGCAAAAGGAGAGATGGGTGAAAGTATGGCAAATTATGAATCTCAGCTGTTCGTGGTTTTTTTTAATGATATATATTAACAACATGCTAAAGAATTTGCAAATATTTTACACTCAATGATAACAGAATGACGAACATAATTAGACCATTATAGCTTCGACCAACATAACTATAGGTAAGCATAGTGGGTCATCAACCCCATGACCAACAACAGCAGATCTCAAATGTGAATTCTCCTTTCACACATACATCACACATTCACAATAGTCATATGTTAAAAGATTTTATCTGCATGATAGAAAACAAATAATTTAACCAAGCCTTTACTTAGGATCGTTGCTTCATTCTATAATGTGAAAAATATGGTCACCAATAGATTCCATAAGAAATACAAGAAACTTGTGTTTCATACACATCTTACAAACTAAACATTACAGAACAAATGACAGCTGGGATAAGGAAAACGAATATTTAACTACTATGAGTTTGGCCTTTGCTGATAATGTGAAGGACCCCTGTTAGGCTCCCTTGACCAAAACCTTTTAAGCAATGCAGGCCTTATAAATCATGGTACGCATTACCTCTCTACCAATTATGGCAATTGCAGGTATAGTCAGCAGCCACGGTGCTTGTCCAAACACACCGACATCCAATGGTCTAGTACATAATAAGACCAGTGTGGCAGCAACCATAAGCTGCATTCAATTATTTTACATTCAGTCAATCAGAAAAGAACTTAAGCTACACTCACACCAAATCACATTTTCTAACCAAAAGACTTGAATTTGTAAAGAATATGTGTATGTGAATTAGGGGAAGGAAAAATACCTTGTCAGCTACCGGATCTAAGAATGCCCCGAATGAAGATTTTAACTTCATCTGCATTGCAAAATTATAATAGTTAATTGTAATAAGGATTGGCTTTTATAACTTGGAACGCTGAAAACAGAATAATGGGGTTGTGCTTGGATTCAATTGGATTGGAGTGAGTAAACACTACCTTGCGAGCAAGATAGCCATCAAGCCAATCTGTGATTGATGCAGCGACGAAAATAGTCGTAGTAGCCGCAGTTCCACGCCAACCATCCATGTAGAAAGCTACACACACACACACACAAAAATTAAATTAATAAAAAATAAAAAATCACATTACATGAGATTATAAGACAAGTCTTGCGATATAAATATGAAAAAAGGTGCAATAGAAAACGAAAACGCACTAGCAACAAGAAGTGGCACAGCGGCGACACGGCCTAGAGTCAAAACTGTTGGCAGAGTAAGCAATTTGGAAGGTTCTGGCTCTGGCTGAGACTGAGGTTGAGGTTGAGGCTGTGGTGATGGCACAGACGAACCTAAATCTGTGACAAGACCAGCTCTTCCTAAACATGGCAATTTGTGTGTACGTGTAAACCCTAGGATTTGGATTTTGGAAGTGGAAGGGGAAGGGATGTACCTGCGGGGATGTTGGGGTGGGGTTGTTCTTGTGTTAGGGGTCCATGAGAGGGGTTTGGTTTTGGTGGCTGTGCGACCGTAGATGAAGGCAGTGGTGCCCAGTTTCAAGCCCGACATCATCAATCACCAATAACTTTGTTCTTTCTAAGCCAAGTTTGGTCCGAATTTCAGTGATTCTTGGATCACAGAAGAGGAATTCAGCACTTGCACCGTTCGTAGTTTCTAGTTACTGTTTGGTCCGAGAACCGCGTAGAACATTATTGTTTCGAAGAACAAAAAAGAATCACTCCTAAATTGATATCCAACACAACGCAGTTGTTTACACCTTCTTGTCTGAGAAAGTTCAGGTATTTAAGAATGGCCTAATTACTTCTTCTTTTTTTCCTATTATTTATCTATTTTGTTGAATTTAAATTCTCCATTAATCCAATTTCACATAAATTTCTTAATGATATAACTTTTATAAGTTCAATAAAATTCCTAACTTTTAAGAAACATGAGAATAGTTTATTAACAGTCGGAATGACAAAACTAAAATTCAAGGTTGTTAGAACCTATAAACTAGCCAATTAAGACATTATTTTAAGATTTGAAAATTTAACCGATTTATAAAGATTAAACCAATTTTAATAAAATACTATAATTTAACTTTTTTTTAATATAGTAATATAATAAATGAAACAGTAATAATAAAAAATAATATAAGTTAAATGAATTCGTAAAGTTTTTAAAAGTGTATTTAATACCTCCTATTTAAGATCAATAATAATAAATCAAATCATCAAATACAATAAAAAAATATTTTTTTTAACCAATTAATTCACTGTTTTTTTTTCCTGATTTTATTGGACCAGTGCTATCTTTATAAAATTTGGATCGAACACTAGACCAATACATTTATAAAGTTAACTAAGCCTTTTAACCATTTTTTTTAATTATGAACTATTTAGATGGATATATGAATTTATTGTAAATGTTGTAAATGAGATCAGAAAAAAATGTTTTTATTATTTTTATTTTACAATTATACATGATAGTTATTTAATGATTATATATCTATATGACACTTAACCATTTCAAAAATATTTTAGATCCAGATAAAAAGTCACTCGTTGTTCACAGAGGATAGAAGCATCAATTTTTGATAATTTTATATACTATATATATATTTTTTTGTAAAACGTTTTCTAATATTATTTTATTATATAGCATAGGTAAAAATAATGATAATACACTTTAAATAAATAATAATAAAAAAATAATAATAATGATACCAGTGGAGGTTTTTTTTTTTTTTTCTCTTTCTCTCTTCCATTTTATCCCCATTATTTTTCAGATAATTTTGTCACGCCAATAATATTATTTGCTTCGTTGTTTTTTTTAATGGTATTAATAAGGATTAATCATCATTTAAAACATTTATTAATAACAATAAAACCTTAAATTATATATAAAGTAATATCCTTTTAACATAATTTATTTCATATTTATCATATCTAACTATATATTGTAAAGTTTTATTAGCATTAACTAGAAACCGAAAAGATAAGTTACATGACGATTTTTCCGGTATTTAAATATAAGTTAAGTCTCATATTTATTAAGAATAAAAATTTTGAGTAATATATATAAAAAATATGATATATAATTTAATATTTTAAATTTTTTTGTTAGAAATAATATCAATCTTTTATATAAAATGGATTCATATCTCATTAATATTATAAAAAATATTTTAAGATTTTTTATTAATTCTAATAAATCACCATTAATTTTTTTTAAGAGTGGTGTGAATCATTTATATAAAATGGATTCCTATTTCATTAATATTATAAAAAAGTATATTATTCTAATATTTTAAGATTTTTTGTTGACTCCAGTAAATTTGATCAACATGTTAATTTTATAAGTTAAATAATTTAGTTAACAATACTTTAATACATGGGAAAATTCATACGTTATTACTCTATTTTTAAATTTTAGAGACACAAAATAATACAAATTTAAAAAAAATACCGAGTCACAAAAAACATATTGTATCCTTAATAAATTATATATTAATATCTTTTCGCAATTTTAAATTATATATTGAATGATAAAACCATGCTCTTATTTTTTTTAGTTACTTTGCATTTTAATTCAAAGATAAACACGATAAATCATTTGAATATGTGAAATGAAAAATGAAAATCCCTTAGCAATTTATGTTATCTGAAATCATTTTTTGTAGTTAATTTGCGTGATTATTACTTTTTTAGTATGCCAACAATCTTATTCTTTTATATATACATATATTAAAAATATTTTGATAAATTATTTGTATGATTTCGTTACATACATACACTTATTATTCTAGAGTAATATGCTAAACTAATTATTCAAGCATTTTTAGAATTATTCTCTCACAAAAATCAGTTAGTAATAATAATAATATATTTGTTGGGATTTATAAATTTATATCACTTAAAAATTAAATTAAAGATAATTTATATATAATTTTTTCTAAATCTATCTAAAAAATAAAATACGAGAATTTTAAAATAGTAATACATTCAAACATATGCTATTATTTATAATATGAAAGAGGACATTAATTTTTTTTTTTCTAATATAAGTAAGATGGAAAATTATAGACAAATAATGTGTGGACAGAAATGACGGCATGCATTGTGACATGCCGACAGGCATAGAGGGGTAAAATGGTATTTTCGATGCATATGTTTCAACTTTCATAATAAATATTAGACGAAACTCATTATTTTATAGAAGTTTTTTCTTTTTTAAACAAAAAGAAAGAGGTATCTTAAAAATAAATTTTACATTATTTCTCTAAAGTTCATTAAAGCACACGTAAAGTTTGACTTTGTTTATTATTGTTTAAATTAAAAACAAAAAACGTAACGGATAAGAAAAATAATATAAAAGTTTGTATGTGTTTTTAAACATTATATGGTTTTTTATTAAACAAGTTATCGTTAAAAATATTTTCCTTTCGTTTCAAAACACGAACAGGCCTCTAAATATTTGAAGATAAAAAGTTATATATATATATATATTTTTTTTTAAGTTTTGAATATAATAATAATATAATATCCAAAACAACACTATCCCAAATTTGAAGTGGGTTCTCTCCCCAAAGTTTCCATTTTTTTTAATTTGCGAATAAAATTGTCAAATTATTGAATATTTTTATATTTAATTGGAAGTTTGTTATTATTTATCTATGTAGTGTTCCAATGGCTTAATTTAGATTGAAATGATTTTGAGGATTTCATACCTGAAAAATAATAATAATAATATATATATATATATATATATATATATATATATATATATACTTGAACGATTTTAAAAATAAGTTTAGATATAGATTAAAATCAAATATTCTTCTACGAAATATAAGTTATTAAAAAAAATCTGAGCTTAATCCCTTAAAAAAAACAATAAACTTAATATAGTTTTCATATATTTTTCTTTGTATTTTTATATATATATATATAAGAGGATTTCGTTTAAGATGACATTGTGAATTTGAAAATTATCACTGGTTAAAATTTATACCAAAATTCAACTCAATTAAATATGTTTTTTATTTAATAATAATAATGTTTCAATTTTATTTTGTTTTAGTTTATCTTATGTATTAAAGTGAGTTTGGAATTTAAAAAAAGTTTAATAATTTATGAATGAGAAATATCTATAATCTTATATCTAAATAATTTTATTTTTAAAAGATAATTTAATATATTAAAAAAAATATATATATAAATTATTATTTATGTTCAATATAATAATATTATTAAAGTTAATATTATTCATTTTCAAAATTTAATGTATTTTGTCTTCTAAGAAACATTTTGCAGAAAAAAAATATAAATTATTTTTAATTTATAAACATATCTACTTTTTACCTTTTTTTAATTTAATTTATACATTATCAAACAGTTTATGACATAATATTCTAAAAATTATTTGTGAGGATGAAACAAGAACTTTATAACGGTGTTGTTATATGTGGAGGTTACTATTTTGTGTTGGCTACTTTTATGGTTCCTCTATTCTAATCATGTTAGTTCATTCTTTTGGCATTCAATAGCTTCAAGGGACCAGGATTATTAGGGAATCATATTTTTGGCATTCAATAGCCTCAAGAGTCGAGGAATTAGGGCATGAATAGTACTATCTTCGTTATTATTTTTTTTATTATTGAAAGGGAAAATAGTCTTCTTGACTTTCATTTGAGAGAATTTGCAAATAGTAAAACTATAAATAAAGATTCATTTTGTAGGTCATGTAGCTCGATCATCTTTATTTTTATCGTCGTAGAGTGCAATTTTTTAACTAATAAGATAATAATAAACATGATTGAATATTTATAATTAAAAATGCTATAAGCTTTAAATTTTCATGTTAACTACACTGATCTATTTTATAATGTATATATTAAATAAGAGAGTAAGACGAATGGATAACTTTCGAAATTAAAAAAGATAAACTATCAATGTACTTTAATTGAATTTTATATAATTTATCACACTTCCTTTTTTTTTTTATATAAAACCTTGTATGAATATAAATATATTATACAAACACAATTTTTTCTTTCCACGTGGGAAACAGGACATTAAAACTTTGTATTTTATATATAAATACAATCTTATGTAAACTAAAACTGAAGAGGATATTTAAAAAAAAAAACTATACTATTTTTTACACTTTTATATCGCTTTCTTTCTATTTTCAATAATTTATTTACTATATAAATACAATTTCTATATTCATACCACACAGAAAGAAACGAGACAAAAATAATTAATTCATTAATTAACCAGCCTGAGTTATTATAAACCTTCGGATATTTAAGTTTTTAATTTTTAGAACATTAAAACAAAAATCCTTCATAACAACAAGGACGGCTTAAAAAATATTTATTTCCATTGCACAAACCAATCGTCTTTTAAAAAAAAAAATAATAATATATATATATATATATATATATATATATATATATATATATATATATATATCGAAAATGTTTTATATTGCGGTTTGGTGTCGGTGTTGAAAATTATGGCATGGCGGTCCACCCGAACCGCACCACATCTTAGGGTAAAATAATAAGCATAGAGTAAATAAATGATTAATAATAATAATAATAATATTATTATTATTATTAGAAAGGTTATAAAGGTGAATTTGATTAAGAAGCATAAGAACCTGGTAAAAAAAAAAAAAAACAAAAAAAACTGAAACAGCACGTTGAATATCATTGATGGATGAGGAAGGAAAAGTGAAAATGTGAGGAACGGAAACGAAGCATAGCTTACCAAACCAAACCTTTTAGCTTTTGGAGCGCTGAGTGAGTGTATCACGCAGCACATGTAATAATAACGTGACGCCATTTTCGCTCTCCTAGCGCTTAGTGTGCATGTGCTCTCTCTCTAACTCTCTTACTTTCTCTCTCTGTTCTTTCTCTCTCTTACTCTCTACTCTCCTTGTATTTGTAGCTTACTGCCACTATCTTGCACAGACTAACTGCACCAATTCCAGGCGAAGAAGATCTTGTTCCCAACCTTCGCCGATCCAATCCGCAAATGAAGAACAAAACTGTAAACCCTCTCATCACCTTTGAGCACAAGAGGTATTTTCCATCCACGCGTATTTCGCTTCTTCGTTCTCGTTTTTTGTTAGATCCGTCGATTAACACTTCATTTTCCATTTCCGTTTGCTTTGTGAATTCGCTTGGACCGCCGCGTGACTTACCGTTGAATTAATGTTTTTTATTTTACTTTTTTCAATTGAATTAGTGGATTATGAAGATCGATCTTGGTCCTTTTGAATTTGAGTTGACGCCGGTTGCGTCTCGTTTTTTCTTCTTTTTTCGTTTGTTAGTTAGTAGTAAGTTGTGAATAGTGATAATCGTTTGAGGCAATCAATGCCGACTGCTATGGAAGTGCGTTTGTGCGGAATGTGTTGTCGTTTTAACTTCGGAGTGGACGACTGGCGATTTGACTTGGGTTTTTGCTTAAATTTGTTGTTTAGAGTCGTACTTATTGTTTACTGTTAATTCTTTTGGGTTTCTGTTAATTTTTTATTTTATCTGTTTATTATTGGATTGATTTATTTTTGGAAATTAATGCGTGTTTGGTGTGAACAGGGATGCCTATGGGTTCACTGTGCGGCCTCAGCACCTGCAGAGATACCGTGAATATGCTAACATATACAAGGTCTTGTCATGCTTTGGATTTATGATTCCAGTTTAAGATTTTAAGTAAGGATAAGGAAAATGGTGTGAAGTAAATTTTTCTTTAGTAAAATTGAAGAATCCCACTAGAAATACTTGTTGGTGGAAATTCCATTTTTGCTCAAAGCTAGAAACACTTAATTTTTTTACCTTGGTGTTGTTCCAAGTGTAACAGTTTTTTATTGCAATCTCAGGAGGAAGAAGAGGAAAGATCAGATCGGTGGTGCTCCTTTCTTGAAAGACAGGCAGAGTCTACTGAATTGGCCACAGACAGGTTAGTTGTGGGGGACGGTGAGAAAGTTTTGGGTGATGAAGTTGCAGAGCCAGAAGCTGATGCTAGCTCGGAGAAGGGTATTGATGGACATGAAGCATGCAACCGAGTGCCGGTTGATTCTGACAATGCAGATGAAAATGGTAGTCAAAAGGAGGTACCAGCTATTGAGGGGGCAAAAGTTCACAGGATCCAGTTATGGACTGAGATAAGACCATCACTTCAAACTATTGAGGATATGATGAGTGTTCGTGTAAAGAAGAAAACCGGGTCAGTAAAAGATGAAAGGATCAAGAAATGTGTGTTAAAAGATGACCAGATTATGGAAACTGAAAAATCACCATTGCATTCTGATGATGTTAAATCACCAAAAGGAGTATGTGAGGAAGACTCCGAGGAGGAGTTCTATGATGTTGAGAGGTCAGATCCTAGTCCAGATATGCCTCTTGTTGATGGCACAAATGCTTCTGCAAATGGTGTTACCTTGGATGCTGCACCACCAGAGGCTTCGTTTCCTTGGAAAGAAGAATTGGAAGTTCTTGTTCGTGGGGGAGTACCTATGGCGTTGAGGGGAGAGGTATACACTATATACTTGAGATTTGCATTTCTTGTGATGTTTATTTATTTTTTGTTAGTTATCCTACCTTCTTGTTTGTTATTATATTTCAGCTTTGGCAAGCTTTTGTTGGTGTAAAAGCAAGGAGGGTGGAGAAGTACTATCAGGATCTGCTAGCCTCTGACAGTGATTCTGAAATTAAAACTGATCGGCAAAGCATGCAATCAATTGACAGTAATGGGAAAACAGGTGGAGATTTTGTACGTATGCCAGAAAAATGGAAAGGGCAGATTGAGAAGGTAATAGCTTTTGATATTTCACCTTCAATGTTGTTAATACTGTAATATTATCGGTATGAATGAATATAAAACAAGTTTCTTGTTTGAATTCTGTGATTATTATTTCTTGTTTGTGCAGGATCTGCCTCGAACATTTCCTGGTCATCCTGCACTGGACGAGGATGGTAGAAATGCTTTGAGAAGATTACTCACTGCATATGCTCGACACAATCCCTCAGTTGGTTACTGCCAGGTCCTTGCTTCTTTAAAGACTTACATTTCTACTTTTCCTATTTTTTATAGAAGTTGTTTTTCCCTTCAATCATCTAAGGAGACGTTTATATGAAACATATATATACAGCTGACTAGACATAAAGAATTGGTTCGTACAGAACTTGTTAATTAATGAGAATCAACAACTACACGCATTTACATTGCCTTATTTGCACCATTTATAAAAATAATAAAAATTTGCTGCTGAATTTCGTCACTTTTAAATGATGAGTCAAGGAATCCATGGCAACTGTTAGGAAAATTTTTATAAGTCTTGCAAAGCCAAATTGGCCACTGATTTAACCTTTACCAGTAAAACACTTCTCTCTCTCTCTCTCTCTCTCTTTATATATATATATATATATATATATATTCTATAAATTGATACTTTTGGCTAGTCATTAACCTTGTACTATTTTCACGTCCACAAAGGGTAGAGGAACACTACTTAGCTGGCAGCTGTTTAGTTGTAACCAAGTTGTTGTTATTATCGACTGAAAAAGAACAAAATAGATCTTACAAAGTCATAGAAAAGTATAGCTCTACTCTAACATACAGAAATAGTGTACTTTATAATGATATCCAAAACACACTGTCTATTGTGAAAGAAAGACCTTTGGTCTTGAAATATGATTCGTGAATTGCAGTGATCTGTGCTATCACATGGATAATTAAATAACTTAAGCCCATTTTTTATTTTATGTGCTCTCACATGGACATTTCATGTATGCTCATGAAATGTATAGCCCGCAGATTTAACTTGTTGAAATAATTTCTATTGCAGGCCATGAATTTTTTTGCTGGTTTACTGCTACTTTTGATGCCTGAAGAAAATGCCTTTTGGTATGTCCCTATATAACTGCTTGAGTAGATTTCTAGAGCATATGGTGCAGTTTTCAAAGTAAATTATGAGTAGAGCGTCATTATTATAAATGTTAGTGCTTGATGAGCGCCCTTGACTTGAAGGAATTCCTAACTGATTGCTTTATGCTTTTGCTGCATCTATAGCAGCTTTACATTACAAATTGAACAAAAAATTTTGTTTAACCACTGACTATGGTTTTCTTCAGGACCTTAATGGGCATTTTAGATGATTATTTTGATGGCTATTATTCAGAGGAAATGATAGAATCTCAGGTATTGTTTCTTTACGTTGTATTCTTGATTAAATTAAATAATGTACATGAATATCTGTCATTGAACATTTTAACATATATTCATTCAAATATATTTTCATTTTATCAGGTGGATCAACTTGTTTTTGAGGAGTTAGTGAGGGAGAGGTTTCCCAAATTGGGTCTGTAAACTATGCTAATTCGTTTTGTCTTTGAAATTTCCTAAGAGTTTTGTTTCTAGTGTTCCCTTTCTTAGTTGATATTTTGTTGTGTTCTTCTTTTGCAGCCAATCATCTAGATTATCTAGGAGTGCAGGTGGCATGGGTTACTGGACCATGGTTCCTGTCCATTTTTGTGAACATGCTTCCTTGGGAAAGTGGTCAGGTTTAATGTTCTATCTATTGAGTAGTGTAGTTGAGTCTTATTTGACAATGTTACCAATGTCAAATGAGCATTTCCATGCTTTTGTTTGACCTTCCTTCTCATCTATTGTCATTATTTGGACTTCAGTTCTTCGAGTGTGGGATGTGCTTCTTTTTGAAGGAAACCGAGTCATGCTCTTTAGAACCGCAGTTGCTTTAATGGAGCTATATGGTACTGGCTGAAAAATGTTTGTTGTTTGAAACTACTATAAACAGATTTATTGGTAAAAGTAAACTAGCAATGCTTAAGCCATACATATATCCACAGAACTTAATTTTACTGTGTGTTGTAGGTCCTGCATTGGTAACGACAAAGGATGCTGGAGATGCAGTTACTTTACTTCAGTCATTAGCTGGCTCCACATTTGACAGCAGTCAGCTTGTATTGACAGCTTGCATGGGTTACCAAAATATAAACGAAACTCGGTTGCAGCAGCTGAGGAATAAACATCGACCTTCTGTAATAGCTTCCATTGAAGAAAGATCAAAAGGACTTAAAGCTTGGAGGGATTCTCAGGGACTAGCTTCAAAGCTATTTGGTTTTAAGCATGACTCTAAAACAGAGCAATCAGCTGATATGCAAGTGCTTGACAGCTTATCACGTACAGAATCTGGTTCCACTAATGCAGATGAAATTCTAATTAGTTTGACTGGAGAGGGTGAGATAGATTCTGTTCCAGATCTTCAAGAGCAGGTCAATTTTGTCTTTCCCTATTACCCCAATCAAAAAGGTTGAGCAGCTAATTACAACATGGCATTATTCTTAAGTTGTGAACTCCATGCAGGTCGTCTGGTTGAAGGTTGAACTTTGTAGATTACTAGAGGAGAAAAGATCATCCATTCTTAGGTACTTAAAAGTCCAAGTTTTCTTGCAGTCTTGCAACTGTTTTTCTTTTCCCCCTAACTAACCTATTATGAATCATATGCCCAGTTCCATAAAGTAATGGCTAAGATATATAATTATAGACTGAGTACTCAGTCTATGTTAATACAACTGTTGATTTGCTGTGCAGTGAGAGAAGTATAAATTTATAATTATAGGGTATCGTAATTTTTTTAATTTGTTGGAAATCGTAGTATCTCATTAATTATAAGAGATATAATCAACTATTATATTTTTATTTCGTATTCTGTAACTTTGGGCTCCCTAATTAATTCAGGGATGTCATATTATTTTCATTTCGGATTTCTTCTTCATAATGTATCTGTCTAACATGTAAAATAATATAGAGACGAAATAATTCTTTTTATTCTCTGCTCATAGTTTGTTGTTTGAGATAATGCATTTTAGGGCCTTTTTTTGTCTAGTTGGTGATGAATTCGGTCCTTGCCTTTATGAAATATTGTGTAATTAGTCCTTGAATTTCAGGACTAATGCCATTACAGGCAAGGGACGCATACCATGAATTTCCATAAATGTGAGGACCAAATTTATTGACTTTTAAATACAAGGACTAAGTCTGACAGAAAATAAAGGGACCTTAATACGGGATTCTTATTTCTCTTTTGGGTTTTTATTGGAAAATCCAGTGGATAATACTACTCGTTAACCACTTGGGTGATTAACCCACTTATAATTTGGTTAATGATGAATAATTAGTGAAAATGATTCGGTTAATGCATTTTTCCTTATATATATGGTCATGCATTGGTCTTTGATACTTTGGTACCTATTCTACCAACCCACTTATAAATTGGTTAATGATGAATAATTAGTGAAACGGTTAATATGGTTAATATTTTTCTTTATATATATAGTCATCCATTGGTCTTTGATACTTGTTCTCCCCCTTTTTTATTTTCAAACATGAAATGATATATGCATATATGTATAGGAGTTGAGAGAGAAGTTTCTCCTGAAAGTCGAGAGATTCACTTTTATGCATATAGCATTTATTTGTTTGAATTTCTTCTTTTTTATCAGGGCAGAGGAGCTCGAAACAGCATTAATGGAAATGGTCAAGCAGGATAATAGGCGGCAACTAAGTGCCAAGGTATGTCATGAGTGAACATGGGAATTTTGCTTCTTTCATTCTGGGCTGCTGGCTTTCTTATCACACTGTGATTACCTTCAACAGTAAAACATTTTACTTCGATGTACTTGGAAATTGTATTATTCAGACACAGTTTGAGGCTAGTGAGGTCTACACGTAATTGTCTTTACAGCATAATAAAATGCAATACCTGTGCCTTGGTTCAAGTAACCATTAATTAAAGAGTACTAAAATCCAATGAGTAATGATGTGCTAGTAGTATCTTATTGTTCACTGAAATTGAAGCTGCAGAGAGAGAGTGAGAGAGGGAAATTTCCCTTCTATCCTTCCGTTCAGGTTGCTCTCAGTTCACCCATTGCTGAAGAAACCTATCTTTCCATTTAACAATTAGAAGTTGCTCAGGAAAAGACTTGTCCATCCCGGAAGTTGCTCTTGCTGCCTTGACTTTTCCATGCCAGGGACAAAACTTGTTTTGCTTAGGTATTATAGATTTCACAATTGTCATTCTGCACAGGCATTGGTGCTAAATCTATGATTGTCGTCTAGGATGGCATATTGTCTGCTCAGCATCCAATTGCAAGTTATGAGACTTGAGTCTCACATTGAATGTAGAAGATTCTAGCATGGGGTTTATAAGGCCTTAGGCTTTCCGACTACATTAGCTGGTTTTTGTGGTTTGATTTCCCCAAGGCTTTTGTCAATTGAGAATCTTTCACCATGTCTACCATTTACCAACGGGCAGCACAGGTGGTAACACTAGCATTTTAATGGATTCAAACTGGAGTCCCACATGGGAAGTGTGGAATTGTAGTATGGGATTCATAAGGCCCATTACATCAAGTAGCTTTTATGGTGTGGTTCTCCTAGAGTTCATGATCACATTCATTTGTTTGGGATATTGATACTTGCATAATATTTCCACATCAATTTTCGTTTTTTGGAAAATTCCTATTTTGAGATGCCCATTGCTTTCAAAGTGCTGGTAGTTTAAAATTCCAGGATACAGATCCAGGTCCATGATATACAGGCTGGAATTTCCAAAACTGGCTGATGTTTATATGATTGAATTAGTATTTATGTGAACCTAGTTATTAGATGAGAATAGGTTATCACATTGTGAATGTAAATATTATAAAAACATAAGTTTTAAGGACCTAGCTTCAGATATGACAGATAAATGATGTGAAGTGATCAATGTAAATAGTTTTCAACTAGAAATTGATACAACCAACTTACTATAAGTCTCTCTCTCAAGACAAAATTATAAGTAAAAAAATGTGGAATAATCTAATGTGTTCAATAATGTTCCTTCAAACCCCTTTTCAGATTTAAGCTTATTTGAATTTTCAATCTATTTAATGAGAATTGTTGAAAAAAGTAAAGAAAGAACAGTGAATCATTTATTCATATCATTGATATAGATTCACACAAATCCATCCATATATCTTACCCAATTCAAAGACAAATAGATACTACCAATTATTTCATGATATACAATTGTGTGTATGGGAGCATGTGATTCTAATTGATAATCATAATCCTCTAACAACTATCGATTAGATGTCATTTAAACTGAGTTCTAATTTTTTATTTCAGAAGTTAAAGCATGTAATTTTTATCATCTTCAGGTAGAGCAACTAGAGGAAGATGTTGCTCAGCTTCGGCAGGCACTTTCTGATAAACAAGAACAAGAAACTGCTATGCTTCAGGTATCACTTTTACCTGTTTATACTCACTATTGTTGAGACAATATGCTTTCATTTTGTGATAAGAGTGTGCTGCTGGTAGGTATTGATGCGGGTGGAGCAAGAGCAAAAGGTGACTGAGGATGCTCGCAGGTTTGCTGAGCAAGATGCAGCCGCACAAAGATATGCTGCCCAAGTCCTTCAGGTTACTCTTTTTCCTATTTCATCTTGTATCTGTCTACTAATACAAGCTATATATATTAAAACGCATCATTGTCTTTCATTAAGCTGTTCTTGATTTGACATCATTGCATCATAATAGTGGCTAAAGGTATTTTGCAGAATCATAGATATATATTAATTATTCTGGCATAGGCTATACTTGACTGCCTCCAGTTGGAAGAATTGCATTCTATTGTCACATTTTATTCAAATATGATGGATATAGTTTATTCTGTTTGTTGCAGTTATCTTTGGACGGGGAATGTGATTTTGGTTATTCACTGTACTTGTTGCAATAAGCATTCTTTGATTCAGCACCATTGCCTTGACTTGTGCCTGCTTATTCTGAATGCAATAATATTTATAAATCTCTATTCTGGTCATATATGTCAAGAAGACCAATGCTTTCTTATACTGCTATATTATACTTTGATTGGCACAATGGCAAATTTTTGTACTGCAACATCTTACAATTATACATATTATATTGGCAGGAAAAGTACGAAGAAGCAACTGCTGCACTTATTGAAATGGAGAAGAGAGCAGTTATGGCAGAATCTATGTTAGAGGCTACATTGCAGTACCAGCATGGTCAAGTTAAAGTGCTACAATCTCCACGGTATATTTAATTTTTACATATCCACGGACTACTGTATGATGAACTTGACTTGATGTCATCTTGATTTACACAGATCACAGGACCCAGTATCGAGAAACAGTCAAGAGCCTACAACGGAAATCCCTGCTAGGAGGATAAGTTTGCTTTCTCGTCCATTTGGACTTGGATGGCGTGATCGAAACAAGGTTGGCTTTATGAACCATTGTGGAAGATTGAATATTTTATCGAAATGTTACACTTGCCCGATGACTATTTTGTTGTTGATAACCTGAATTTGTTGTCTGCAATAGGGGAAACCGTCTAACGAAGAGCCCGCTGAGGGAAAGCCCAGCATTGAGGAACAAAATACGATCTATCAAGAAGGAAATGGCATTAAAGTACAGGATGAGAGTAGGAAAGAAGAGAGTACCTAGATTTTCTGTCTTTCTCAAAACAGTTTTGACGAGGAAGAAGCTAGTTCCTTCTAACTTGTCTGTAATTTTTGTTTAGGGTGAACACATAATTTCATATTCATTAATTGTTTGTTCTTTATGATGTCCGCATAGAATAATAGTAATTCCAAAGTGAACGATCGATGCAACTGTAATACATCGATCTCTTGTTTATCTATAATACGAACATTCTCGTGTGCGTGCGTGCGGGGCGAACCTTGTGGATTCCATGTTTCCATCGAGTAAATATGTTTGAATGGACGAGTGCTATGGGCGAAAAACATTAAAGCTTGACCTATTTTTAGATAAAAGAAAATCATATAATTATTTTTTATCAACATTTTAAACTTCTCTTGAATTGAAGAGTTATAAATCTATTACTTGTCATGGGCGAGACGTTAATAAACCGAATTTAAATGGAACCTAGGTGATCAAGTAGCATCCATGTTACTTGTATTTAGTTTGCGATGACAAGGACAGTTTAATACACAATTGACAAGTCTTCACTTACAAAACAATACACTATCAGCCTTCTAAACAATAACATGCTAGATCACCTCAACGCATCCGTACGAACGTGTACGAAAAGAATATCATTGTATCCCAGGCTAACTCTGAGCTTGTCGTCGCTGTATCTGCCAAGGTACACTAAACTACTAAGGGATAGAAGAGAAAAGCCAATTAAACTATTTTACCAATCAATTTTCCAAAACTATGGGGGAGTTTTTTGGTTTTAAAAGGAAATACTAAAAAATAGTTTTATAAATAGGAGACAAACATGCTCTTTAGCAGCCAATTCAAATTAAAAGAGAATAAGTCATCTTACAGAAGCTCCAATTTGAATTTGTTTTTCACTTCCAGGGGATATCCGAATGGACCACCAGTAATGGCCGCATCATCCATCGTAACGTCATACAGTCTGGAGCCAGTTTTTCTGTCAATTTTACGGCAAAATATTTTAAGACCATTCAATGGGGCTCATATTTTCTAGTTCAAGAAACACGTATTTAGACGGATAGATAGATGAACTATTATTTTCTAACAGGTGTGCCCATCAATCCTAAAAATCCCTAACTCAAAAACTGAAATTAGTCATTCTACACATTCCCATTCATACATACCCTCGCAGCAATTTTCATACCCTGTCATGATGTTTGCCGTGTCAAATAATTCCAAGCATACATTAAGCATTGCCTAGAATACCTTACCCAGCTTCTAATATTACTTCTATTCTCTCTCTCAAAATTCCCGAGATTCCATCTAAATCAATAACCCTAACTTGAAGCCTTGGTAATTCCTCAATTCCTTTTTAATGGTAGGTGTTTTAGAAAATATTTGTTTATATTTTATCTATCTTTTGTAAAGTTTAAAATTATATTAATTATTATTTTTTATTAATTATATTTATTATAGAAAAAAAAGATATTAAAAATATCTCCAAAGAAGTTGTTACTAAGAGTTGTTTAAGAATAAAAATGAATATTTTATTATGAGTCATACCTCTGAGTTGTTTAAAAATGGAAAAAGTTGCTTAAAAGTGGAAGAAAGTTGTTTCGATAAGCAACTCTTACAAAGTTTTAAGCAATTCAACTGTAGGACTCAGTAATTCAATTTTATTCTTAAGCAACTCTTATCAAAAACTCCTTTTTATATACTCTAAGATATTATAAGTAATTTTGGACGGAAAGATAAGATTAAAATAATGAAAATTATTAGAAAGAGATTATCAAATTTATTGAAAATAATGAAAATTAATATTTTTTTTGATTTAAGAAGTTAAACTTTAAAGAAACAGATATTAAGGATCAATGGATTTTTTTTTTTTTTTTTGGCGCATGTACTCCTTCATCCAAGGCTGAATCCGAAGGTTCTACAATATTACTCTACAGCAAGCACCAGAGGCTGGTCCTTTCGTTGCCACTACACACCTTCCTATTTCCTCTCAATAACATTAGTAAACATGAAAGGATAGAAACTTACACAAAATTTCCAGACATGGAGAACTTAAGCCCAAGAAAGATATCAACCAGGATTTTTATTCTTCCATCCTTCCTGATAATCTGCAACGCCCATCATAATATATACAGACTGAAGAGGTGAGGAAGCATATGTAGAGATTAGAGTAAAGTAAATGTACAAGAATCTCATACCTGCTTTCCCATCAGCCCATTGACTGCATTCTCGATCCAACTATCCGTTACAGTCTGTAGATAGTAAATTGTTTAAATCATAAGAAAAGGCAGATTTTGCAACATATTGTCCAAAATAATTAGCTTCAAACTAATCAAGCAATTGGGAATTGGCACTCCTTTGGATTTCCAAACCTACCTGTGAATTCCACATCATCTGCCACTCACCCTCTTCTAATTCTGGTTCTTCTTGACCAGTGTTCTGCTTTAAGGAAGTAAGTTCATTTATTGCCTGTTCGAATTTAGAATGTGAAAAGCAGTGTCAAGTGAAATATTCCAGTTGTATTTATAAAATTATATGAACAAATAAATCATCTCTGACCTCTTCAATACCCTTCCCTGAGGAAATTGCTGTCAATAATTTTTGCCTTGGTTCAGTTTGCTTCTGTAACACAAACGTTGTTCCCTGCACTACAGACATGTTGATAATAATTCTTAGAAATATAAAACGTGTATAGAAATATTTTTTGTGTCATTGACAATTAAGCACTTTACTCGTTGAACGGAATTAAAAGACTACTACAACGATGTTTCCACTGAAAATGCCTTATCACCTTATTTCCTCTCGAGATACGAAGGTTTCCTGAATTCGACAAATATGTGGTGTCTAACCAACCTTTTGCTTCATCTCCAAGTAGCTTAAATGGAACTGGATATGGAACTTTAAATGGAAGAAATTTAAAAGAAAAGGCAGCTCTGTCAAATCTAAAAAGGATTCTTTTTCCATCTTCAATTGATGCAGCCGCCTATGCATATTGAAAGACAAAAACAAGAACTACAACAACTAAGACCCTGTTTAGCAGAATTAATTTACTAATATGGACTATAGGCAAAGCCTTTTAAGCTAAAGGGCCTCAATGAGTGCCATAGTGTTACCAAATGTCATAGAAAATGAGTAACGATATTTATACATAAATGTGTATTAAAAATATCATAACTTCAATCTAAGTTATTTGGTATTACCTCCACTTTTAGCTCACCGATAGCATCAGAAAATGACACAATATTGCATACTCGTGGATCGTTTGTTCGAAGATAAACCTCTTGAAACACACTAAAAAAGTCAACCCCGACAAAGGTTCTCTGAAAGAGCAGTACAGAAGACCGCATTGAGAAACATCATCAAGCAATTTAAAAATGTCTTGAACAGGCCATGACATGGCACACACTTTGAAGTGGATTTCAGATCTGTATGTCTAAATGTACAGACTGGATTGCATTTAGAAAAGATGATATATGTTGCTTTCCCTTTAGGGATTTAACAAAATGTCTATCAGTATCTACGCAGACTGTTGGATGATTACCGAATGACATAGTCGTTCTAAGAATTAAAGATAAATCCATATACTTCAAGGTGAAGAAGCTTTTCATGAGGTTTGAGTTTCAAAATAATAATATAACGTTTAAACAATGAAAAGGTGAAAAATACTCAAATTGTTGTCATCATCATCATAATAGTAATAGCTATAAATGAGACATCAAGACTTCTATTTTAGTCGGATCTAAATCATACAATCAAGAGTAAAGTAACTTCAGGAAAACGCTGAGTGAGCCAACAATTTGATGACATAGAACTATAGGGCCTCCATGATTCCATAATAATTTGCACTCAATTTAAATATCCTTTCTAGAGCATTTTATCCGATTTTTTTTTCGAAGACCCAAGTTACTATAATGTAGGCCTTAGGAAATAATGAAAATATAACTAAAAGTCAATAAACCATTATTGCTACATCCAAGAAACAAAAAGGGGTGTTAAAACCTGAATTGGCGATGCTGTTCCAGGTCTTGTGGTGAATATTAGCTGCCAGCGACCCTCGATCAAATTGGAGTTAGTCTGCATAATTTAGTTTCATGGATCAACGGAGAAAGACATAATAACATATAGTCTGTCTTGTCTAGTAGTAGCATGCTCAGTTCAAGCTACCAGTAAAATGTTGATATTATTGAAGCGTGTCCTAATTCTCAAGCGCATTGCATCAAAAGAATGGGCACGGAAATCAAGCATATTTCAAAAAATAAAAACAAAACTAAGTACAAACAAACTCATTCAAGCTTACGAAGGAAAAGGAATTCAGATCATGTTTAAATAAACTTCTAACTTCTCAATAAGTACTTGTAAGGCGATTAGAAAACGAGTTACAGTTTCTGCTATAAATTAAAATTAGGCTATAAATAAATTTATTTATTAGACTATTTCATTTGAAGTTGATTTTAATTTACATATAAGCAAATTTTGACCTATTACTATAATGTATTTTGTTTTATATTGTCTTCTCAAGTAATGAGAATGGTATGACATTGAAGACGAACCGGATCGGGTACACCCCCCAAACGTTCGAGGACTTGAACAGCACGCTCAACAGCCTGAGAAATGAGAGAAAGAAAAATGAATGGTGCATTGGGAAAGAAATTGAAGAAAGGAGGGAGAGAGTGGGACATTGAGCTGCTGGGGAGAAGAAGAACGTCCGCGTCCTTGGATGCCAAGAAGTGCTTCGATGAGTGAGTTTTCAGATTCAGTAAATGAAATTTGCTCAACCTGAGAACACCGAGGCAGGAATCCATGTTTCAATGGCTTGGGAGAAACAAAGGTTGAACAAGAACGAGGAATGGATGGGTGAAACCCTAGATTTACAACATTCAGAGCCATGATTATAGTTGTTGTATTGCTAAGTTTCCTCTCTTCTGTTATGTGGCGAATAACTTGGCGCCAAGATCAAGTTGCATACGTGGCCAAGCTGGAAGGAAGATATAGATAGAATAACGCTTTTCTGCACCACTTCCACCATCCACACATCCAGAATACTGTGCTTCATGCATCTTACAAAGCCATTCATTTATTAGACAATATCTGTGTGGATATTCTCCTTATATAACATCTATGATGTAATAACTTGCTTATGCTTCATTAATTGTTCAAGGCCTTCATACAGGAATGATTGAATAAATATTCAATTGTGTTTTTACTCCTTAAAATTATTGATTTTGATTTTAGTCTTTTAAATTTTTAGAAAAAATGTTACATTTCTTTAGAATTAAAAATATATAATTTTAAATATAAAACAATAAATTTGATAATTAAAATATTAATTTCAAATTAATTTCTTTTAATTTAAAAGACTGAAATAACTTATTTTTAAGGACTAAAAAATTATTTATTCCGAATTTTATGACTAAAAATATAATTGAATTTTAAATAAACTATCTTTTAAATATAAATATTTTTTCAAATCATTTTAAAAAGGATTTATTTCCTGGCATATCATGAACTATATTGACTACATTTTAGGATTTCTGGTCCCTTATATTTGTAGAACAAAATTGAATAAACTGCGTTGCAGAAAAACCAACATTTTGCAGCACGAATATGATATCTAAAAAGTATATTAAAATAATATTTTTAATTAAACAACAAGTACAGAACTGGCCAACACTTCAAACACAACTAAGGAGACAAACGAATGCGACAGGGCTAATGAAGGCTTACAAGAAAGCCTACTTCCGAATGGCAAAGAATAGAAACACCATCGACATTAACACAACAGCATGAAAGGCGGGTCAACCATTGAAATTAAGTGGTTGCTCAAAGAGTGGGAAGTTAGAACGAATTGAGATCACGAAGGTGTAATTGGAAAAACAATGGATTCAACATAATTCACGTGTTTTCCAATTCGTCAAATACTTGCTTCTATCTTTGCAGAGGTCAAACCAAAACACACGAAATCAGCTCCTTCGCCATACAACATCTCGTGGACACACGGCATGCCGAGTCCAACTCGTTGAGGAACAACATTAAGTGCCCAAAGATCTCGGTCAAACAATTAATTTGGCTTTGTTGAGACACCAAATGCAATTGTGCAGAGCCTGCAGGCCAGAATAGTATCTGCAGACAAGATGAAGCAGTTGAAGTAGCAGCTATTAGGTTTATGTATTCCACGTCTAATTCGTAACGCGTAACTAACTACAAAGTTAGCAACATAGAACTATTTTACACCTTTTGACTTGTATAGCCTAGCAGCAAATAGTATCTGTAAACACAAGAAACAATAGTTAAATTCAGAATATATATGCGCCAGAATAGATAAAAACGGATAAACAGTGAAGAAGGGAAACATGCACGACAAAAATTATCATACACACAACTGTGCATTGTATTTAATTAAGAAATAAGAACTTCAAGTTCATGGAGAATAAGAAAAACAGAATTACTAGACACATTACCAGCAAATACACTTCCATTTTCTCTTTTGAAATAGAACCCCCGGATCCTTTTTCCGTGTGAAGCCTTAAATACCAAATCCCTTCATCATCCATCCAATTCCTCGGGAATATATCAAACACAGTAGCAATTCGAACACCAAATTGTGAAACCAGATATCCCTTGGTAGTAAAATCTGACAGAAATACTGCTGTCTATCAAACTCGAGTCCAAAGCCACGAAACTAATTGAGAACATTACCAAGTTTCACATCAGACTCGATGCAGGAGGTCTCATATTTGCCACATAGTTGTACTCAAGCAATCATTCACTTATGCATGATAAGAATCTATGAAAAAACTCAAACTTATTTAATAATTAATTACATGACAGACAATGTGTTGGAACAAAAGGCCATATGTCGATTCATTATGAAAAACATTCCTTCCTAAAAGGATCGATTTTATTCGGCATTGCCCGATGAAGTTCATCAGCATAAAATAGTGAAAATCTCGAAAAAAAAAATTAAGTAAAGAAATGCATCAAGATATGGTGGGATAAATTAATCCTCATAAGCAAAAAGAGAGACAGAAACACCAATAAAGTATACAAAACCAATGGCATGAAATTAACTAAAAGTAACATCAGTACATAGTAATCATTAGTTCTCCTAAAACATTCACAGGTTCTTTACATGCTAAAAAGAATAACACTTTGACATACACTTTAATCCCTTGTACATTAAATGAACCTGCAAACTTAAGGATCTCTCTCTTACTATTTTTTGAAAGACCTACCCTACCATGGAAGGAAAAAGAAAAGGAAGGAAACTCAGGTCCTAGTCCTTATGGTCCTCATTCATGTCCATGAGATATGACGACGAAGAACAAAACCACTAGTCCTCCCACTCTTTCATTTTACCAAACCATACAAATAAAAAAAAAAAACGACAAAATAAAAGCAAACTACTAAACTACGATCTACAGATACCAACATTTATGCATTAAAAAGTTGTAGAATTCATTTTAATCTAGCCTCGCCCTCAAAAGTATTCAGATGAAAACTCATGCTAACATGGGACAGGCAAGTCATCATCTCCGGCAGTCTCTGAACTTGTCCCAACTACTTGACTCTTGCTTTCATCCGTCTCATTTAACACTAAGTCCTTTGTATTTTCATCTGTTGCTCCTTGACTTTTTGATTCATTATTTCTGTCCAGCATTTCAAAATCACCACATTCTTTGTTATCCATTACATCATTTTCTTTTGCAAAGATTTTATCAGACAAACACTGTTGTGTCACCACTTCATCTTTCAGCCCATCCTTTTCATTCACTTCATCAAACACACAGTCATTCCCCAATTCATTACCTCTGATCCCATCCTTCTCTGCGACAGCCTGGTTTGGAACAGACACTTCCATAAAAACATTATCTACACCTTCAGCCTCTGATACTCCATCATTGTCCAACTTAGCATTCCCCTCAATGCTTCCATCTCTCCCACCGTCCCGCACCGAGTCAACCATCCCCACATTATTCTCAATTCCTATAACCGGAACATCAGATCCACCCTCGCTCTCATTATCAGACCCATTCTCCACCACTTCCTCATTGACATCTTCCACTGCTTGGTTCTGCCTCTCAAGATACATCAATCTCCTTCGCAGATCGCCCAGTTCTCTCTCCATCAGGAAAAGGCGCTCCTTCAACGTCAAGTTCTCCTCCTCCAACTGGGCTATATGGGAATCCTGATCATCAACTCTATTCTCTAACACATTATTGTAATCCACTCCATAATTAGGGTATATCATCTCAAACCGACTCAAATCATGATCCAGCCTCCTCTCCACCTCCACATGCTCCTCCACATCACTCTCACTCGAACCACCGTCCTCCTCATCCTCATAATCATGAACATCAGCCTCATTCCCAGGCGATCGAAGCCTAATCAAACCCTTCATCGACCCATATCCATCAACACCCCACTCTTCCTTCGCCATATCACCCAACACCTCCCTCGATGGCGACAATATAGGCGTGGGAAGGACTGCGGGGGTCACAGGGCAAGGAGACACAAGCGATGCTATGCCACCGGACTTCTTCGCACGAATAATAAACGACGTCGTATTTCTAGGGGCGTAAGGAGCAAACCTATTATTAAACTTCTTCTTAGGATAGAACTTACGCGCTTTTAACCGATTTTGCGATTGCAACTCGTTCAGCGTCGGAGGCTGGTAACCGACGACACCTGTGTTTTGAATACTGAGAGTTGCGATTCCACTGGGATTGGGTTTTTCCATTCTCCTAGGGTCCTTACGTTTGTCAGTGACCTTCTTCCCCTTCCAGTTACTCCGGTAATTCGGTTTCATAGGGTTCTGAAATTTCATGTTAGGGTCCAAAGGAGGTTGCTGAGACCAAACCTTGTATCCGCGATTCATCATCGGAGGCTGAGACTGGTTCATCATAATCTGTGATGTCTTCATCTGAGGCTGCGGTTGCTGATTCATTCCTTGATTGTGCGAGAGCATCTGAGCCTGCGACTGACCTATTATCTGCACCTGATTCATCATCTGAGGCTGGCTCATCTGGTTCAAATTCATCATCATCTGCGATTGGTCGTTCATCGCAACGAAAGTACGAAACCCTAGGCCTAACGATTCGAGCTAAATCGTCGCAATTACAAACGGAACCGTCGGGAATAAAAATATAATCGCCGATCGCGAAAACCGGAAGCGGAAAAAGAGAGACCGAAACCCTAAATTCCTTTTATCTCAAATTCGAAACTGAGAATATTAGGGTTTGATCTTAAGGGAATCGACCTAAGGCTGAAATCGTATTCCTCTTTCGAGATTTTCACGAATCTGAGAGAAAACCCTGATTCCGAGTTCTTGATTTTCTTTTTCTCGAAAATTCTGGTATTATCGCTGAAAATTTTGCTTCTGTGAGGTGCTCGTCTCAACCGAAGCGGTTTATATAGTGGGACAGGAATAAATTAGACGGCTGGATGTTCATTCGACTAATGGACGGTTTCGATTGTATACTACTAAGGGGAATTTGAACCTTCCCCTTCATTATGTACTTATTGTATTATTTAATTTTCTGATATCAATTATGTAAAATTATTAATTACATGTTTATTAGATTGGTAATAAATTACAATTTAAACAAACACTAAAATAAAAAATAATATATATATATATATATATTGCTAATCAATACTTTTAAATTTTAAATATAATTTATTCTGTGATAGTTAAAATATATGTGATAACACAATAAAAATGAAATACTAGATTAAACCAAATATTAATAAGATTGAATTAAAGCTTGATAATTGACATCAATAAGTTAAATTTTAACCAGATAAGGTAGAATAAATATTTTATCTTTTTCACTCCTTGTTGGTGCAATTTTAAATATAATTTCCTCTAAATCAAAATAAAATATTAATTACATTTTATGCTGATTAAGAAAGCTAGTTAATACCATTCAATTTCATTGAACATTTTTTTCTTCATTACAAAATAATATAAAAATAGAATATCAATTAATCTAAAAATATTTTTGAATCGGTGTCGTCGAGTAAGATGAAAAGTAGTTTTTTTTTTTAATCTACTACTTTTTTTAAACTTGTAATTGAACTGTTCCAATGCGAATCTATATTGATCCAGTGCACGTGTGATTATAGGAAAAATTAGTTGTGTCGAATTTGAGTTTCTTAATAAAAAAATTATTTAAATCGTTTTTATCTAATCCTAATAAAAGTGCCTTGAAAGTAGATGACACGTGTGATCTCTATAAAAATTAAAAAAAAATGTTGTATAATGATATATGTGTATGTATTTATAAGAATTGTGTTCGTAATGTCACTCGGGTGGAAATATTTTGTTAGAATAAAAAATCAGTCTCTTAAACATCTACAAATTATTGTAAGTTGATCCAGAAGAAAATGTTCAATGTTAAATAAACTTAAAAAAAATGGGTTTAGATATATAAATAATATATTTAAAATTATAATAGATAAATTACGTTACGATGTAATGTTTTTAAAATTATTTGGTATTATATATAGAGAATTTAAAAAAATCACACCTATCAAAATAAAAATTGAGATAATGATTAAATCAAAATAATTTTGTATTGTCATAATTTAAATACGAATGAAAATGAAAAATGTTTTTTTTTAAATATATAATTAATAAAATAAATAATTTTTATATTTAAATATCAATGATATTGAATAATTTTAAATAGATTAAATTGTTTAAATTTTTTTAATATAATAATAAACAAATATTAATATATTATAACTAAATAAAAATTGACATTTTGATTGTTGATATATATATATAATTAAATTTTAACTCTATGTTTTTAATTTTGTTGTTAAAATTATAAATAATATGGCAATACACTAATTAAAAAACATTATTCAAAGTGTAAGTCAGACAGCCAATATTATGGTTGACATGTGTGTTATAAAATACATTGTATTTTTATTTTTGTTTTTACTTTTTAATGTATCTTGTATTTATTTTAAAATATATATTTTATTTTCCTTTAATTTAGTTTTTTTAATTATCATATTAATATTTTATTTTAACAATTTAATTTATTTAATATTATTGGTTTTAACAAGAAAAAATATATTTTATTAATTACAAATATTAAATAAATAATTAAACAATTAAAATAAAAATAAATATTGTTGAAAGTCTCACATCGCCTACCTCATGTCATTTTGTATGGTTTAAATACATGTTAAGCTAATCCACATATTGCCAATTGGTTTTATGTTGGAACCTTAACAAATATAAACAAATAAATAAAATTATCAATTAATCAACATTTTAAAAAATATTTTAATTAAAATTGCACGTCAATATATAACTTAAATGAAAATATGGAAAAACCGTTAAGATTTAGGATTTAAAATTAATTAGTTTACGATTTTAAAAAAATATTAAAGTCACGAGAACTTATATATTAAAGAAAACAAATATATTTAAAAAAAAGTTTATCATTTTAGAAAAATTGAAAGAAAATTTGCCTACTGTTTGATCTTGTTGAAGATACCCATGAATCTTACTCTTCCCGCGTAAACCTTGCCCGTTTTCCTTTTAAATATTTTTCTTTAAAACAAAATCTAAAGTTCACAATGAAAACTCCCAACACACTTTGTCAATTGGATACCGCCACTAGTTATCTTCTATGTAATTCCACTTTTTTTTTCAAACCAAATTATAATTGTTTTCTGTTTTTTTTAATAAAAAATAGTTAAATTATTATTATGAATTTTATTGTAATTAATTTTTTTATCTCCACTGTCTTTATAAAAATGGTCAGAATAGTTAAGAGTACAACTTGCTTTTTTAAAACCTTTTAAATTTAAATAACGGTTAATAATTACATTTATTATTAGATGTAACGATCCTAAAAATCGCTACTATAATGATGTCTTCGCAAAATAGTAAATAAGTAAATAACGACATCTATATTATATTATATTATTGTAATTGTAACATAGATTGAAATTTCGGTTCACTAACAGAACCTCAAAATATAGTAACATAATTTATTTATATATTATACATGTAAAAGTAGCTCATTCGAAACTATCCTACTGAACTATCCTCATTGTCCAGTAGTCACATCTCCATCTCTCAACTCTTGATCTGCTCCCATATAAAAGTGATCATCGCAGTCTCATCCACATGAAAAAATAGGGGTAAGTATTAAATCATTCGATATAATAAAACAGATATAAAATTAATAATTATATATTATGACCAATTACGAAATCATCAACACACTAAAACATCTTCCGGAAGTATACCCTAACTATGTTCGAACTCAGAGGCTATCATCTGTGGGCACATTGTGATCGACACTCGCAGTACCATTCTGACTACCCTCCACACAAAGTAGGATTACTAGCGCCCTTCATCACTCATATTGGAGTACCCCTCCGAGCGCGCCACCAGCCATCCCCATCGACTTCTCACCAACTGATCTCGTAGTCTACCTGACCCGATCAATCAGTGAAGTCTGGGACCTCATTCAGAATCCTCCAACATAGTTATTACACTAATGTACTTTGTACCACCCCAGATACTATTCAAACACAACAAAAATCATTCACATTTGTCAGATTTTGGACCACCTGTCCTCACAACTCATTCAAGTCAATAAATAATAGTATGTGACTGATTCTGGGCACCAACCCTCCGGCTCAGTCTAGCCAATACATAACATCTCATGACTGATTATGGACATCAACCCTTAGACTCGATCGACCTACACACGTCACAACACACTATTGAAGCTTTAAAACTCATACATTCATTCTATATTTTAAATATATATATATATATATATATATATATTCTTCTTCTTTTTTTCGAAATCATTTCCGAAATCATTTCAGAAATCGTTTCCAAAATCATTTCCAAAATATTTTCCAAAATCATTTCCAAAGTCTTTTTCGAAATCATTAAATTACTATTTTACCCTTAATCTTTTCTAAAAATTTCATGTATGTCCCAAAATGACTATTTTACCCCTTAGACATTTTCGAAAATTCCTTTCATGTCCCGAAAATGACTATTTTGCCCTTGGACATTTTCAAAAATTCCATTTATGTCCCTAGGATGTAAAATGACTATTTTACCCTTGAACATTTTCAAAAATTCCTTCCATGTCCCTTTCTTCTTCCTCACGCCGATAATAATAACAAATTTTGCAGATTTTGGCAGATTTCAAATTACTCAATTTTAGACAATCAAACTAGTCACAAATTCAAATTAAACATGAATCATATATAATTTAAGTTGAAAACAATAATTTTACCATATAATTCATCCTTAATTTTAAGAATTTCAAAAACTTTCAAACGGTGAACAGTTCATCAGAATCATAAATTCTTCAAATCTAGATATTCAAATAATTCATATCTCTACTCCTATTCCTTATTCATAGAGTACCCAACAATTCAATTTCATATATTGAATGAATTAAACTTCCCCTTACCTTGTATGGTATTTCTACCGAAGTTTTCCCACTTAATTCAAACTCTCTCCTGTTTCACCAGATCCTGTAGGAGTAAAGTATCGTTGCTTGAAATTTAAACAAAAGAAGAAGAAGGATGAGAGGGAAATTTAGATTATGCCTCCTCTCCCGTTTTTGTATGCATATATAAGAAAAATTTTACTGTGCATGAGGAAAACTTCGTTACGAAGTTTTCTTCCATAGTAATATTATTATAGTATTAAAATAAAGCATACGTCACAATCTCCCCTCCACAAAAAATTTCGTCATCGAAAATGAACTTACTTGGAAATAGACATGGATATGACTCTCGCATCTGATCCTCCATCTCCTAAGTAAAGTCTCCGGATTTCTGATCTCATACTACCTTCATCATTGAGATGGTTCTACCTTTAAGTTGCTTCAACTGAGAATCCTCTATCCTCACTGGTCTCACATCAACGGAGATATCGTCTCTAATCTGCACATCGTCTGACTCTAGGACATGACTGGGGTCATGCACATATTTCCTCAACTGAGATACATGAAATACATTGTGCAAATTTGTCAAATGAGGTGGCAACGCTAACTGATATGT